TTATGGCAGCCGCTACCCCCCCCGCCGCTCGTACAACGATGACAAATGCTATGAGTGTGGCAAGCCGGGCCACTTTGCCCGAGACTGCCCCTACAACAGGCGCCAGAGGTACTCGCGATCCAGGTACGCTGCTTGTCCTGTCCTCGCTGGTTGCAGTAGCCCTTTGGACATGTGCGCGTTTGCCAAGTGTGATCGGTCAGTCTTCACAATCAGTCAGTTTTCGCTGATTCAGCCATAACTGCACATCTCCACCATCAGTTGATCATCTTTCTGTCTAATTCCCACTTGCTGAAGATCACTTTGACGAAATTCCCTGCCGGTTCGACTGATTGTGTAGCCCAACTGACTGATTCTGCAGGTCGACCGATTGCGCCTGGCAAATATATTTCCAATGGGATAAATTTCAGAAATCCGAAACTTGACTGTTACATGTATGCTTGAAATACTTTTGTCTTCATTTCAGTTTGGGGGTCTAAAGGGATGACCTTTTTTTTTGAAAAGAGTATTCTAGTTTTGGTATTGCACTTGTTGCATGTGGTACTTAGAAAAATAATGAGTAAACCAATCTTATTTCTCAACTTCATATCTTGTGTGGGATTTCATTCACTGCAGTACATGTACTCAATATAGCAACATTTCAGATGATGTTGGGATATTTTGGGAAAGTTTTTCCTTTTTGAGTACTCTCTTGCCAGATGTGAAAAGTAACAAGACTTAGATTAAAATTATTCTTACTGAAACAGCTTTTGTTTGTACTTGTTGATTGCAGGACATCTAAACTTCTAGCCCATACACTTGTAGATCGGGCATATCGGTTCCGGCAAGCTAGCTCATTGCGGCCAAATATCGTGTGTCCGCTGGTCTCGATTTGTACCCGCAAGTCCTGAACGTCAGGTCGTTGTGCCCGTCTAGTCCGATTCTGTTTGCCAGCGAGCTTTCGGGTGACTGCTAGCTATGCTTCCCCCCTTCTCTTCAGATATCGGCTACTTCGGCGCCACTTCCGACAATAGCTTCACTTTTGCCCGCCAGCGTTTGTTGCTGCTGCAAAATTCGTGAAACCACAAGTTGCGATCATCACTTTATCCCTCTGCGAGTCTTAAGTCCCGGCTACTAGATACTTTGTAAATTGGCTTCATTGATTTGAAACCTGCCTTCTTCAAGGTACACAGTACTCCAACTACACTTCCGACAATAGCTGCATTTACCCTCCAAGCGTTTGCTTCTCCCGACCAATTTGTGAAACCACAAGCTACAACCTCCATTCTGTCCCCCCCCCCAAAAAAAAACTCCTAGATATTAACCAAGGCAACTACAATCAAAATCTTGCCACGTCAAGCTAAGGTATCCTCCAACTACATCTCCTACAGTCGCTGCACTTAAACCTGCGAGCGTTTTCTACTGCTGCAAAATTTGTGAAGGCAGAAGTTACGACCTCCATTTTTACCCTCCAACGAGTGCTTGTCCAAAACATCCAGACACCTGTGAGCCAGTTAGCTACAGGCGATCGAAATCCCTGCGCCCTCACTTAAGCTACACATCTTGACAGCAACCTTCAAACGTTGCATGTTCGCACAATCTACCCACAAGTTCTCCACATCCCTTTCCACCGAGTACACGTACCGGGTACATGCCCATTGTCTTGCACCCCCCCTGCAAGCGACTTCAGCGGCAGTCGTTAAGTACTCCCAGCCAAATTCACAAAGAAAATTTGCCGTCCTCGTGGCCTGGTCAAATCTACATGAGCATGTACGGATTTTTTTGTATTGTCATTTCTCTGTACAACGTGTATTTTAGATTGTGATTAGGACAGACCCTGCCGAGTGCAACAAAGGGCAACCAAAAAAGCAACAGGAGTGCAAAGCCTGAAGCCTTTTTGTATCGGGACCTATTTGTATCAGGTAGTTACTAACAGCAGGAGCATGAACTGCAAACTCCGAGACGGCCCTTGGTGACCGGCAGGCCAGGACTCGGAATACCTGTATGGGCCTTGGGGAAAATTGACCCATTTACAGTGAGCCAGCATTTCACTGTGACCATGGTGACAACTGTTCTACTTTGTTGCATTCAGTAGCGTGTCTAGCCAGCCCAAATACCGTAGAGGGATAGCATTTATACGGGGAAACAATGATTTCCTGTCCAATTTGAAGGTATTTGAGGTACATGTACATCGGTTCTTTTTCTTTGCAGCTAACAGATCAAAAGTAGTCGTTACATTGGAAGTGGTAGCAGTAGCCATGCATGAGGAAAACTCTCATCCCTCGACCCATTTTTGCTCCTGTTGCAGTATGCACCCAAAACATGCAACGTAACTTTTTTTTTCAATCAGCTCTTTGAGAAAGTAAACTGTTTTTGATTGAGCATGAGCAGACTGACATGTAGGCAAAGACGTCCTTACTTTGGTACAGCTGAGTCCAAATTCGTGGAGACACTGAGCTTAAAGTAGGCTGTGTCCAAATTACAATGTGCCTGGCTGTGGCTTGAAATTGCGCACAACTCTATGAGACGTGGCTGCAGCCGTAACCCATAGACTTGTATATAATGTCAAGTGGCAGCCAAGTAATTTGGACTGGGCCATATACTTGTGTTGCATAGGAAGGATTACACAACAGAGTTTGTGCTTAGAAAGAATTAACAGGCCAATGTAGTGGCTGTTTACCAGCTCTTGCTAAGCGTGTACGTGTATTCTCTGCACTTAGCAAATTTCAGTTTGTACCTGCTTCTTCAGCTTGGTCCCTGCTGCTTATTTGGGTTTTGCAGTCTGTCTGAGTTTGGAGACAAGCTTTGACCAGATTTTTGGGGCATTTGAAATTAGAAATGCGGGTTGCCCAGCAACCGTAACCAGTGTTGACATGAGCAGTTTATTTCACAGCAACAAAGCTGACCTTGTGGTGACATCATCTCAAGATACTGTATCTGCATATTTTTTTTTCTCGTGATCTTTTGTTGACCTGAAATGGAAGACTTGACTTTTCAGCTTCCACATTTAAGTTCAAGATCCGAAGAAAGTACCGTTACTTGCATGTTGAGTTGGGAAAAAAAGCTCATTTTGTGTATGCATAGCTCAGCCTGACACTCATTTTGATTGCCTCGTTTTATACAGGTCGAGATCGTATGATCGCTATAACTCACGCAACAGGCGTTACTCACGTAGCCGAAGCCGCAGGTAAGAGGCCATGTGAAATGGCTCCTGCAAAGCAGTAATTCACCTGCAGGACATTGCACTGTTGGTCTTTAAAACATCCAACCTTATCAACCTGCACTTGACAAATCTGCACCACTCAGCTCATTCTGGGAGCCTGATGTGAAATCCCAGCTTCACACGTTGCCACAAATAATTGATGATGTGACGCAAACTTGTTCAGCGGACCTGATCAAGTCGCCATGCCTCATTAACTCTGCTAAGTTCATCGGGCCCACGAACATTCCTTAAAGTCTATCAACTCCCTGGGAGTATACAGGTTAATGCAGCCCTTTCACCGCAGTGGCTAATCAAACGCAACAGCCATCTGTACCCTGGCAGGTACCCATTTGTGACCCGGTACATTGTAATCAGGAATATGTCGCTGAGGCCGTTTTAGGTAATGGCCGAGTAAAGTGGGGATGTGGGTAAATGGTGAAAAATTGATGTGGCAGTTTCTTTATTTTCTGGAAGTGTATGTATGAAAGGCTACCATCAACACACTCATTGTGTGTACCATTTGAAAGCTTGTGAAATTCCCTTTCTGACCATGTACATACCTCAAAAATTCAATTTGTGACTTATTCCTGATTTTGGATGTGCTGGGTCACATTAATACTTCAGGGTGGAGAGACGCAAGTGGGAGTTGAGTGACTTGTCTGGCTCAGGGTCTGCTTCAAAATGGCCGATATAATTCTCCCACCGTCTGTCTCTCTGAGTGACGTTAACTGTAGTTGTCCTTGGACTTGCCCAAGATGGTCGCTGATACTTCATATTTTTGGTACCCGTTTGGTTGCAGCCGCTCCAGGTCTTACCACAGCCCCTACCGCAGTTAGTCATCTGGTATGCAAGACTACCACCGCGCGGGATGTCGACATCAAGTTTGCCAGTTGGGTCATAGGGTTGGACACTTGACGATGACACCTTCTTTTTTTTAAAGGATTTTTAATGTTTCACTTTTTTTTTAATTTGGACGATTTGTGTCAACTTTGTGTGTATTTGATGTATGGTTAGAAAGAGAAAACTGTGTGGTGTTATCAAGTGCAGAAGGAATACTGTGAACAAATTTCTTAATGGATTAATTCCTAGATTCCGTTCAGGAACAAAGCAGCGACTGAAGACATGTATTCTGTCACAGATTTGAAAGTCTTCGTTACATGATCTTAAAGTAGCTTAGATTATAAACAAGATAAATCCCGTCTTACTAAAAATTGACTACATGTACTTGTGTTTAGAATCATAACCTCCTCTGTATTCTATTTTTTTCATGGGAGTTACCAAGATAAAGGCGCTCACTTCCATTATATCTCTAGTGACCAACAATTAAGTTCCGCTGTCAAACTGAATAGGCCAATTTTCCCTGATAGCCTGTGCACAGAATAATTCTGGGTACCCTTAAAATCGACTTAGTGTTTGACTGATGGGTTGCTGTGTTAACTCTGCCCTGAATGCATGCCACATTCAGTCCGAAATGTGAGCCTGTAAACATGGTACACCAACAACTGAAAAAAATCTCAGAGTTTCTTTAATAGCCATCCCAGCTTAATTTGTCCCGTGGTAATAGTCTTTCACCTGTGCACAGTACAGTGTTAGTTTTGAGTATTTGGCAGACAAGTAAACTCTACCAGACACAGATAAAGGACATCCGGGTTCGCTCCTTTAAATTTGGAATTGTCTTGTGATGTTCCACAAAGTCGGACAAAGTAGCACTCAGCCGGGGATGAAATCTCAAGTAACAGAGGAAATCAGCTGTCTTGGGTAGTCGCCTGGGCCCAATTTCACACTAAGTGGGAAAAAGTGGTTTAGTAAATTTATTTGCTCAACAAAACGCAAGAGGGAATCACTTGCAAGAAGTACACAGTGCCTTGAATATTTTGCTGTTTTTTTGCTGAGATCATTTCTGTGCTTAGCACAAATCCATCGTTGCAGCTTTGTGAAATTGGGCCGTGTAAATGGAATTTTTTTTTGCTTAGTTATTCAATCATGCCGAATCTCAGAAGTTCACTAGGTATTAATTAGAAGCTCGACTTCACGTAGATCTCGGTGTTTAATATCCAGCAATGACATGTACACATTTTGTTGAAGAATTGTTCATTTCTCTGTGTCCACACCAGTGTGTCGATTTTGTTTTTAAAGAAATAAAATACGTGTCACGTGGGCGTGTGAAGCGGAAGAGTATATCTGTTTTTGTTCATGTACAGTGGAACACTGTTTTATTACAACGTCCTTGGGATATTTACAATTACCTTGTTATAATAGTTACCTTGTACGTGTATTATCAGTTATGAAAACAAAGACTTGGGACCTAAAATTGCCCTTATTATAAATATGACTTTGTATTAAAGGTGCTCTTATCTGTTTTCGACTGTGTATGCTCGAACGGAGTGCGGAGCCTGTGTCCTCTTTGCTCTGTCTTTGGCAGCATCCGAATCTGTTGTCTCGAGCTAGATTGAGTTGTAGGCTTGCGAAAACACCATGGACTCAATCTCTTTTGGAAGAGGTGTGGTTCTTAGAAGAACCGGCGAGTGTTTACTCTATGTTTCGCCCAGGATGCTCTGTCTTCAGGGTGGAGAGCTGGGTCACAAAGGTAATCCGGAAGCGGTGGAGCGTGGAACGAGATTCGCGGGTTGTGTAATTGCTGCGCATGCGCGGGGGCATGGAGGTGTTGGATCCTGTGGCGGTGCGGGGCTGCAGAATTGGCGGGAAACCTTGGGTGTGGGAATAGGGGACCCTTATGCCAGATGTTGCGGCTTGCCAAATGCACGCGCGCCTGAGTGTAGAAACGCATGCCTGATTGCTGCGACGCTGCACAAATTGTGTCTCTTGGGAATTGGTCTAAAAACATCTCCAACATTATCACCAGCCACCAGTTGAAGACATCAGTAATTGTTTTATGATCACTAACATTTATATCATCAGATTGGAATCCACTGGCTGCCCAACCCCCCCCCACCTAAGCCTGATGCATACCTGCCAACCTGTCGTACTCCTTCCTGAGGTCAGGCATCACCACATAATACATTAGAATTTGAAAGGAACTGAGGGCTCATAGAAATACCTTTCAATCTATTGTGTGGTATTTGCCTGACCTCAGGAAGGAGTGCGACAGGTTGGCAGGTCTTGCTGAGCACTGAATTGTGACGTCACTATGAACCAGAAAGTGTAGTGCAAATGAATGCAGTACTACGCGCATTGGTTCACGCGCTGGTTCTCGCTCTAATGGCTTTTGCGGACACAGTCGTGCACGTCACGTAGTCACTTCGGTACTCTGTTGTCCCCCAAAGTCGATACAAATGTATGTGTCTGGAATCCAGCTACTATTTTTGTGTCGCTGACACGTCAGTGCGGTGTTTATTCATCCTACCATTTACAAGTTGCTAAAAGTTTTGTACACAACAATAGGCCCTAGTATTTGGATTTATAGCGACAGACAATCAAATGATATTCCACTAAGTAGTCTTAAAAATCGCTCAACTATATAAGCAAAACAACAAAACACAAAACCGATGTACCTTGAATAGGACATAAGCTGTATCTAGATATTGAACTTCGAAAACTTAAATCTTTTCTGGAGTAAATTCAATCATAAAGTTGAAATCCTGCCCGAATTAGATTGCATCTTCGAAACTATACATATATGCATAACGAAGGCCTACATGCAGAAAGGACCTAGGTCACTAAACTTACGCCAAGCGTTGGGTATCCGTCAAACTCGCTCCCACTGCGATTTTGACGGTCGAACGCAACGCACACGTGTGTTATGTTAATGGATCGATTTTTGTGTATACGTGAAAGTGAAACGCACCCAAAAATGTACATGGAAAGGCGCCTTAAAGATTATACAGTGTATATTCTATAGGTTTAATACGCAGTATAACACATGTGCAGGAGTAACACGCTCTTTTGTCGCGTTGCAACTTGTGCGCATACGCACAAAGAGCAGCACTGGAGAACGACGCTAAATAAACATAAATGGGCGTGGCTAACTTTAGTTAATAAGGCAAAATTCTAATTCAGTCGTTAGTCGTGCAGCCTAGTTTGCCTAACTTTTTGGCGTTCTAGAGAAGTGCATTTAACATGTCAAAAACAAAACCAAATACTTGATAAATTAATCTGAAGGTTTGCGCTCTTCTAACACTTTAATCGGTAAACCCTTAAGCAGTGTTTGTAGTCTGTTGGAGGATATGTTTTGGTCACCGAAAAAAAATTAAATGTACACATGATCTGTTTTGGGCAGCAGGGGGGGGGAGGAAATCGTCGAGCCTTACACTCTCCCCTCAGGCAAACAGACACAAGACCCGAGTGCTTTAAAACGAACGGTGTTTTTTATGAATAAAAGGAGACTGTTGCGGATTAAGAACCTCTTGAGTTTACTCCTTTTGACGTTATGCCCTAGTTGGCACTAACTGGATAACTACACCTGTGGCCTACTACACACAGTGGTTGTGACCTCTGACCCAGTGTTACACTGTCGAGAGATCCACCCGCTAACATCCAGTCCCCCCATGAGATACCTGAATATGCCGCTGCTTGTCAGGTGAACGCGCGATCCTTTACATGCGCTGTTCACCGAACAGTTTCTCCCGGAGAACGCGCATGCGCGAGTGAGTCTCGTCCCAGTCCAAGAAGGAGCCCTCCAGATGCCGGTTGCCCTCCTTGGTGATAGTGAAGGAGCTGCGCCCATGTAGGACACGGCCGTTGTTGAATGCGGCTATATCACCTGTGCATGCAAATGGGACAGCAAAATGGCGTAGTTAGTGCGGTATGGCGGTCAAGACCAATCGTCACTTGGAAATGATAAACACAAAAACGCGAAAGTTGACCGTGTGAAAACAAACTGTTCACACGGAGCTTGTTCTTTCGCTGATGCCCTTTGCACACCTGATTGTGCGCGTGACGTGTTTACCTCGGTATAAAGCTAATATTTAACTTCACCCGAACTTTATCATAATTTGTGATCTAACTCTATCTGCGTGGGATACTGCGACAGTACATGTACTGTATTCGAACTGGACCTATGTCCCTGTGCACTGATACGTGCATAAGAGAAAAAAAGGCACCGGGTAAATCTTTTTGGTTTTGTTTTTATTAAACGACATCTTTTTTAAGCTACCAAGTTAATATTTTCCAGGGTTGTTAATAAAGAAATACCAATATAAAAACCCATTATTACTTTGGTCATTTATTTCAGAATTTGGAAGCAACATGCGAATAACAGTGGATGCACGATGTACTGTGACACTTAAGGATGCTAAAGCAAGGTACCCCGAGAAGTTAGACGATATGTGGCATGACCATGCACCGGCGGGTTGGAGCCACTGCATACGCCATGCGTTCCGGGGGAGGGGGGTCTGAAAAGTTGGCATATGGTGCCTACGAACTTTATGGACGCCCCCTTAGAATCAGGGATTGACTCCAGCGGCATATCCAGCTTTTGGTATCGTGTGGGTGGGGGCAAATTCAAAATCTTTGTTTAATATTTAAAAAAAATCCGTCGGGGGGCAAGTTGCCCCGCCCCCCCACTGGATGCGTCACTGATTGACTCCGGACAATCCCTTTTCTGTTCGACTGTCCTACGAAAACCCTGTGGTGACTGGAGGCCAAGTGGCGGTGCTCGACCTTAACAGAGATGCCCCAAATGATTATTTCTATAAATACTTAAGTGTATGCTGGCACGTACCATAATACCATTTGTTGCTTTCGGGCTAAGCCATACCACCTGTCACGCCATAGCACACTTATCGTGTTTATTAAGTAGGACTTACCTGACCTGTGTCCATATCAAACGGCTGAAAAGTGCATTGCGCCCCGCACGTAGGCCCTACGCAATGTTGACCCCGGCCATCTTATTTATCGGCTGCTAAATGTACGACAGCCGTTCAAAGGAAAACAATGGATGGCGTGACCTGATTGATAATGCCTTTAGCTAGTTACAACAGTGCACCTGCTTTCCTTTCTTTTTTGTTGTTTTGTCTTTGTTTTCAAACCCTCCCCTTTTAACTCTGTTATAATGTATGGAAAAATAGAATGATTCTGCGTTTCATCATCCAGTTCCGAGACTTATACACGTTTGTCGTCTGAGGGCGCCCGTCGTTGATGGTATGGCTCTGATATTTTGTGATCGTGAAGGAGGAGCGGTTTGATCGGGGAAGGGGGGGGGATAAATTACTTACCTGTCCCCAGAAATTCTGAGAGTATCAAGCTGAAAAATCCACAAAAACACTCAAAATTACTCTACCTTTCCATAATACTTGGGTCACATCTACGGTGAACCTAACAGGACGTGTAATCGCGTGGAATATCTTCTTGCAGCATGCTGCGCTCACGCACTGCGTCCTTCACCGGCTCCAGTAAGAAGTGCCGCGCGATGCCGCTTCTCGTTCCTGCGGTACTTGAGTCTGTGAGTGCCATGACTAGCCACGAAATGTAAGGTATAAAACCTCCACATGCGCCTCGCTCAAGTTTAATGCTTTCCGCTTATTTCAACATACCGAGCTCAAGCCGAAAGTTCACGTGGTTCTCAGGGCGATACATGACGTCGTAGAACACCTTCAAAGCTTTGTACATGTCCCTGACCTTCTCCACCGGAAGTGACATGTAGGGTGCCCTCGTGTGATTGTTGAAGTTAACACGCGTGAACTCGCCGAAACTGTTATACCTAGGAGTGGAAAAGATCGAGTGAACCGTGTAATTGTGAAATAAATGTCTTCCGTATCTTAGCACAATCTCGAGCTACACACTGAAAATTAACCCTTCAGGTTATGAGTGTACAAGTACATAATGGACTCTGCTGAAATCAAAGACCGAAAAATGCGGGATCCCTACAAAGATACTTTGTGAATGGGTTCATGTCAGTTGTAAGTGACCTTTGACTGCAAGTCCTACAACCATCCACCGGTTCAAACAATCCCGTTGGACATGACCCCAGGTTGCTCTGATAATATTGATGCTCAGTCTGCTTTAAGGGCCCATCAGGAGAAATGGGGATTTTCTTTTTAATGATACACAATTTAACAGTCCCTTAGAAACCTCTTACTCGATGACAGGCCTCCTCTGCTTCATGTGGTACACGTAGTAGTCCTCGCCGACGTCTCGGAAGTCGACCTCCTGAGACCGGAGGATTTTGTACATCTCCGGGAACTCCTGCCGAATTTGCTCGGCCACCATCAGGCCGTCTACGAACTGACTCTCCCCTCCCTTGGCCGTGCTGGTCTGCATAATGCAGTGCAGCATTTGAATCTAGCAGTCGTGAAACAAGAACCAAGCAGTTAATAATCTCACAAAATCTTGAAATGAGCAGAGCGCTCCTACAATACTAGTCCTATCATACACTTACAGTAATTGCTCGACCATCCATCCATGGAATTTCAATGCAAACATGCTTTACAGGCATCATACATAGCTCATAATGAAACGCGTGCGTCCATAACAGCCGTATCGTCAGGCCATGTGGAACCGAGAAATCGCAAATTCAGAGACAACCCATAAGAATTAATTATATATCAATCGATTATGCCTTTCTGGAAGATGGGGGCCCTATTTTACAAGCTCTTTTGACATTATGTAAAGATAAACGCCTCAGACATGCCATTCTTTCGACATTCTGAGCGGGAAGTCGGTGCACTCGCAAATTATCGTTTCATCCGTCGAACTTTTAACACGTACTCTGTTAAATATGTGAGAATAATTCTGATCGGTGCGACTACGGTCAATCCGAACCACTTGTTATTCTTCCACTTCTGTTTTCAAGGCGGCCGGTGAACATCTTAATATGTGCAAAATAAAACCCTTACTTTGGTTGCCTTGAGTTGAGCCGTTTTGGGTTATTTTTTTCGGGATTTGGCCAAAACATTACAAAAAGTGAAGAGTACATGAGAAAGGATAAAGTCACTCACGCCTGGCGTGTAGTCATAATACGGTAGGTCGGTGTGAAGGCACAAAGCCTTTGTTGTGAATGCAAGATTACTCGCATCGTGCTTACTGAAGACTTGGAAAGTCTCCCTGAAGAATGAAGATGTGATAACCAAATAAGGCGAGAGCAAGAACTACATTTCGATGTTACAGATTGATTTGCTTTTCCAAACAGAGGCAGTGAAATCAAGTTAGGTGTGGCAGTTAATTCAACGAGAAGAATTGAAGAAAAAGAATTACCCGTAATTAGTTGTTTTCACATAAGCAATTCTCGCGGACAATTCCTGGAGAACCCCTTTTCTAGTCGGAGCGCCTTTAATCATGACCAGGCCCTTGGTGTTCAGGACTTCCAGCCAGTTGTACAACTCCCGGTCATCGTGGAGAACTTTTTGGAAATCGAAGGTCGGGATCTTGTCGTTCAGCTCGCCTCCCCACATCTCCAGCTCCGGACTGCCCACCGTGTCTCTCTCGTTGTTGGAGAACCGCTGGCGGCTCAGCCAGGCCACATCGAATTCGCTGAGGTGCCCGTCAGGCCAGATGATCTGCAAAACCTTACCATCGCTCCGGATTTCCTCGCTAGCTGGCTTGATGTCGGGGTCCATCTTTGCCGGGTCGGAGGTTCTCTGCCCGGACGAGGGGTGATAGCATTCAGGACATCGGCAGTTGTCCCTCAGCCAAACATAAGGGTAGACGCCCTCCGGGCCGGAGCTTAACCCCACACGGTAACACCCCACCGTATCGTCCCTGGCGACGCTCTCAAACCTCAGGCTTCCTTTTCTTTCCGGTGCGGCCAGCGTAGAATGCGACATCCGGGTATCCAACGACCCCAATACCGATCGAATGCTTGCCGCATTCCACGCCTTCCTGCTGGGGTGTTGCCCTGCACTCGTACCGTGGGCAAACTGAACCGGAGTATGCCCCGATCCTCCCCCTACCACCGCCGGCGCCACGCTCTGCCTGAGGCTCAGAACTGACCGCCGAATATTCAACGCACGTCTGGCCAAAGTAAGGGGCCTTGCAATCGCTAGAGCCATGATGCTGCGATGCTGTAGTAGAAAACACAGCCTTTACTCAGTCGACAACGATCAACAACTGCTGTGAGCCAATTCTAACTTACCCTGCCGAGCACAGAAAACTGCGTCATCGCCTGTTTCCATCGCACAATGGTGCCATGGTCCAAGGTCGACCTAGTCAATTTGAATAGATTGTACTTTACAGTGACGCCAATACAAATATAGGCCTGTATGCATGATAGCTACGCGTACTAACCTCTTTTCTGTGATTTAGATAAACCTGTCACAGTCTGTCTCTGGCAGCCGTTCCTTTACAGAACAAACCCATGTCACACGATGATGCAAAGACCTACTGGTGGGTTGGTTTAGATCGCCAGCGCAGATCTATTGCTTTTCCTATTCCTATATGAAAATATGGAAACCTTTTGTGCCAAACGGACCCCATCAAAATGCACGGCTGAAGATGCTGTGCACAGATGACCTTGAATTCCCCTAGGTCTGTGGAGAACCACTTCACAATAGGCCTTCTCACACTACAGCCTTTCAACCCAGGTTGAACTTAACCCATGGGCGAACCCATGGCCGCCCTGGGTTGAAAATTAGATTTTCAACCTCAGCCCGGCATTGTTTCACACTTGTTTCCTGTGAATTAGGCTTATCCGTCGGGGCGAGTTCAACCCGAAAATGAGCACAAACAATTTTCAACCCGGGATGAAAATCTCAACCCTGGTCCGGAGGAGGGTTGAGGTCAACCCAGGTTGAAGTCAATCTCGGGGGTGACGCAGTGTGAATCGCCACCCGTTTTCAACCCACCTTCACTTGAACCCTGCGTCAACCCCGAGATTTGTCCAGTGTGGAAAGGCCTATGATGTACATACAATACATCCTGTTTACGGCGTTTACATGTTTACAGTGGACATTGTAGGCGCGTGTGTACCAATGCACGAGCACCCACGGGATAATCATTGCCTGCAGCCGAGCCACAAATAACGCCAAATTTAGATGGGTATGTCTTTTTAATAGAAAAAACGCGAGTGTTTCCTGAACCAATCACACTAATTCTTACATTAATAGATAGGCAAAGGCTTGCCGAAGAAACTCTTTTTGGAACTAAGCCGTACGGAGACGAGTTGAAGTTAGGGGTTGCGTGCAAAAAAAGGATTTCACACACGAAATGAGCCCGATTTTGACGAAAAATATGACATTTTTCATGAAATCTGCGAGCGTCAATGATTAAAAATTTCATTTTATTGGTTATTTTCTGAAAGTATAGCATCTTATAGCTTCGTGCTCCTTCAATAACTAGGAGATACTGTGAGAATTATGCGTACAATGACGAAAGATATTGCAAAAGTCCATTTTGGGGGGGGGGCAACTTTTCCGCTGACGTGCAGCAGGAAGTAAACTCTTGCAGGCTTAGTTCGAATTCCCCCAAGGAATGTAGTGATGGCCGACACCTGGGAAGCTCGTAATTGACGGCTCAGGGCGTGATACACATTTTGTCTGGGATATCCATTTGTCAAAAGTGTATTCTTGAGATTTTATTTACACATTCATTAAAATCATTTTATAGTGCATATGCGTGGTCGATGTTCTGAGGGCAAATTAAATATAAAAAATATAGCTATCATTCAACCAAACTTTGCCACATTTAAACGATCTCCCCAAATCATCGAGAATTAAAGAAATCATACGAATGATAGGATTTCGATGACTTGAATACATGCAGCACGATTTCATTTATAAGTTGCTACGATTATTTTGTCCACACCCTTTGTAGCAGAATAACAGGGAGAAACTCCATGTTACACTTAGTGGTTATGAAGATCTCCTGACCACATTTCATGCAGCAAGGCGGGTTATGTCATTCAAGGCACAAAATGAGTGTCTCCATAGCTTGGTCTATATACAATAGACCCTTGCACTAATGAATTCATAATTTGAACGCATGCGCACAAATGGCCTTGGCGGCAAGAAGTGTGAGCGGTCCATTGAAAACGTGCAGGGTTGCAATTTAGATCATTTTCTCTCAGGTTTTCTTGCTCTGTTCGTTTTTTTCTTCAGAAAATCTCATTAAATCGTTTTGCTATTAGTTTCTATTCTAAGCGAGATTTTTACAATCGTGATTTTTCCTGTGCACACGAGATTGTCGAATCTAAGCTGGTCTCCTTTTGTGCTGTTTTATAGCAAAAACGATTTAATAGGATTTTCTGAAGACAAAACTGAACAAAACCCAGAAACCTTAGAGAAAATAATCAAAATGGCACCCCTGTACGTTACCAATGGCCTGCTCACACTTCTCGCCGCCAAGGCCATTTGTGCGCATGCTTGCATAATTATGAATTTATAAGTGAAAAGTCGATAAAGCACATTTTCTACATTTCTTGAAGTGAGTTCCACTTTCTACCCCGTTTTCACGTTAAACAGCTTGTTGGACAGTGGTAGTGGCTATCATTTGTTTCAAACAGCGCTAGGGAGGCATTTTGAGGTCTTGACGAGATTAAATATTCACAAAATTAATGACTTTGTGAGAATGTGTATATTAGTCTTGTTATCAGATGGTACCCATATCCCATACAAGGACAATAAATGTACAAGGTCAAAATACATTACAAATCAGAAATAAGGACACTTTTACGAACTAACATATTTCAGAAACGGAAACCAATGACCAAACGGTCATCGTAGCTCTCTAGCGTTCGGCTTATATCAAGGAAAGACAATTAAAGTACGTGTAAATACGATAAAAATGGGAAATACACAATAGGAAATAAGCATTTTCCAATCAAAGTAATTAAAGTAAATTGAAGTAATAAAAAAAACCAAAAGAATTAACAAAAATACCAGGGAAAAAGGAAAATCTATGCCATTTTACAAGCTATGGTAAGTTAACTTTGCAAGAGTGTAAAAATTCAAATAGAAAACATACAGTGAAGACAATAACATTGAAGCTTTTTTTAGATCAATGTACTGAGGTTGGGCAGCATTCCGATTTACATCACGTGGCACGCGCCGTATGCACCACTATTCTACAGTTTTTACAAGGAGAGTTCGTTCAGTATTGGGTGTCTGCGGAAACACACCACAGATAATTATGGCTAAAGAGGGATTTTTGAGGTAAAACTTCATGAACAACTGTAGTTAGAAAAGGTAAAATTCCGACATACTTTTCCCGTAGACCTGATGGGTTATACTTTGTCAAAACATTCTGACTGCTCAGTTAAGTACATGTGATTTGATAATCGATAATCGTGTAGTGGCTAGGGGAGAAAGTGAATATTGAACTGAAATTAAATATTAAATGAAGCACTGAATAGACACTAAAAGCTTTGGCAGATTAATTAAGCGAATGTCGCAAGAAGTAGAAATTACCAGCAGCAGGGCAATCAATAATAAGTTTGTCAGAAAATGAACGAGTCTTTGCCGTCTAGATTCAATAATGTGCCAAGTTCACTTCTCTGAGAATTTCCAGCCAATTCACGTCTCAGTTTATTTCCCCATACCAGACGAGGAACTCACACTAGGGACTCATTTCTTAGCACACCTGCAACAGCTCTCGTATTTGTAATCACCCAAGATCCCATATAAGATATCAAGTATTTTCATACTTATTATGTCCCATTCTGGGCTCGTTTTTTCAAGTCCGATTCCAGATGTAAACTATATGTACCGCGGTATGGCCGCTAAAATATCAAACTGGTGGATAACACGGCGACTCCTGGGGGTCAGTCTTTTCGCTCGTGGTAAGCAAACGCTATTATCCCGCAGTATGGTCCAGCAGCAATCTGCGGGACCATACTAAATGGGCGTGGCTAACTTTGGTCCAGCGGATTATCTAGTTCGGTTATCAGTAGTAAACAGGTTTTCCTGTAACGTTTTTGCTATCCTGAAGAAGCGCCCACATCTTTCTTACAAAGAACATAAGAAGCCTCGATACTACAACTGATTCAAAAAGTATGTATCTTCTACCAAGTTAGAAGTGGCTGTCAGCAGAACTGGAAAGAAAATATACATTGGGGACAATATTTGCTGCTGACAGGTTATTTTGACGCCATATATAGAAACAAGGGAGCACAAAGCCCCTTGTGATTTCAGTCTCTGTAGTGTCAAGTCGCACTCCAGGATTGTATCATTGAAGGAAAATACACCCCATTCTTTATAGATGGATTTCACATTAGCGCCGTCTGCGCACATCTGCATCGAAACCGAGGCTCTTTGTGTTTAAGTTAGTCGCGCGCACCCGCGGAGTCCACACAGTACATGCAATATCCGGTTCATAAGTGTGGTGCCACTTCAGTTTAAACCACGCCCACTGCACAAGATAAACGGCCATCGCAGGTACGTTAGTTCGCGGTAAATTGGCGTTATTTTTTCTTTTGATTTCACGTGTCGAGTCATCCTGAAAGACTGTTCCACAAAAAATTGCAGCCTGAAAAGTCTAAATTTAACATACCTTTATGTATTTTGTGTCTTAACTCCTTACTTTCAATCATCTGACCGTATTAAGAATTGAAGCTGACACATACAGCCTCGTTTTCAAACGCGAAAGTGGGCAGATCTACGCTAAAAGCGTCGTATTGGGATCCCTCTATTACAAGCGCTCATCACCAAAAAGATTCTCCCGGAGAATGCGCATGCGCGAATGAGCCTCATCCCAGTCCATGTAAGCGCCCTCCAGATGCCGGTTGCCCTCCTTGGTAACAGTGTAGGAGTTACGCCCATGTAGGACACGGCCGTTGTTGAACGTGGCTATCTCTCCTGTGCAGGGACAAAAAAAAAGACACCAAAAAGTGTGGATCGGTAAAACTGCGAGACAGCGTTGGCCAGGTCGGTATTTCAAGAGGACGAGGTTGTTCGAGAGCAATTGCACCTCACGTCGTGTCCGTTCTACATCTGCGGCTTGTCCATTAACTGCAGATGGTTCTGCAGCATACAGGTATGCGCGCACCAGTCACGTGTCCTTCACTGATTCTCGCAAGAGGGCGCGCCAACGCGACCCTGACTATACCGCTCCTGCAGTGCTAGGTCAATATCAAAGGTATGATTAATTTTTTTTCAGAGAGTAACTTGAGACCCCAGTCAAGTTCTGTATATGCTTTCCGGGTTTTTCAACACACCTGCGACAAGCCGATACTCCACCAAGTTTTCAGGGCGATACATGACGTCATAGAAGACCTTCAAGGCTCTGTACACGTCCCTGACCTTCTCCGCCGGAAGCGACAGATAGGGCGCCCTCACTTGATTGTTGAAGTTTACACTTGTGAACTCGCCGTACTTATTATGCCTGTGTATATATATAGTGGTGAAAATGTTCGACGGTTAATGTTGGCACCATACTCACGTGCATTTTTATAAATGTCAAGTGTGTACGTCCCTTTGGCACTCCACCGGCAACGCCTGTTGACCTCCCTGTAGAAAAGACATCTTGAAAAACCCTGTGTATACCGTTATAACGCTATGTGCGCTTTTCTATGGGGATTTGCCATAGGAAAGCGCATACTAAGCAAATTGTGACGTCGTTATATTATACTAGAGGTATATTGGTGGAAGAGAGGCGTGTAACGCACGCCTAGCATCTGTTTATGAGGTGTGGACCACCACGCCTAGGGACTAGTCCTATGCACACTGCTAATGACGTACCTCAATGTTTATCGCATTGCATTGATGGTACCGAATGGAGGTCATCGCTGTCTGATGTACGTGTAGTACGATTAGTATTCGCTTTTAAACCTTAGCTTTAAACATTCCGGAGAATAATCTTCCACAACTGGAAAAAGGTACATAAGATTGCGCCCTCCACTTTCTTGGGATCGACTGCATATTAATCCCACGCGTGCAATTACCCCTATTCGTGACATACGAGTAGGTGTAGAGGGTATTCTGGTCTTGGGATAACTCTACAAGGAGTAGCGTTTTCAACAAGGACACTGGCAACCTCTTACTCGATGACGGGCCTCCTCTGCTTCATGTGGTAGTCGTAGTAGTCGCTGCCGATGTTTCGGAAGTCGACCTCTTGAGTCCGGAGAATTTTGTACAAGTCCGGGAACTCCTGCCGCACTTGCTCCGCTACTTGCAGGCCGTCCACAAACTGGTTCGCTCCACCATTGGTGTCGCTAGTCTGCTCGATACAGTGCAGCATTTGAATCTGGCGTTCATGAAAACGTGAGGATCGATGATGTAAGAATCTCAGACAAGCTTCAAGTGACTGAAAGAGGTACGGTGGTTAGCCAGGGTTATACCTTTGATCAACGCGCCCGCGGCAAAATGGACGGTCGCTCCAGGGCTTGCATGCGGTTCGTCGTGTGGTCTTGACTACCTATTTCGCCGCGGGCGCCTTGATCAAATGTTAGCCAGAGTAAAGTCGATCCGTTGCTAAATACCTGTTTTTGTGGCCCGTTTGACCCATGTTCATAATTCAGGTTTGCTTTTTCAGTGTGTACGATTTGGCCACATTATACTGTGTAACACCCCTCCAGTTATGTACATGTATACGATATGAATTTCTCGACGAACTGTGAGTTTCAAAGATGTGGGTATCGATTAACCGAGTAAACTGACTTGATTATTCAGTTGTGCAACAATTATTGGTTAACAAAGCCTCTGGAGTCACCTTTTTTTTATACATGAAATAGCACATGTAGTTATAACAATATTAGGCTAATATTAACCGGAAGTAGAACTATATAGTTTAGGGACCGAAGCTTACAGAAAGCACTTTGAATAATAAAACTGAGTGTCCCTTTTAATTTCACAGCACTGAACCTACACATATTCGAATCGAAAAATAAACATTTGAACATTCGATAATGGCCAAATATTGGTCCGTTATTTCTGTTCTGACATGCCAACTTTTATCTTTTACATTTTATTTTTTTCAGTATTTAAATACTCATTTTTGGCTTGATTTAATGATTTGTTTTTAACGTTTGTTTTGTTTGTCCTTTGACTAAATTCGAAGATCCTTTTTTGTCGCTCAAGTCATGATGTTTGGAAATGCATTGCTTTTTTAGTTGCTTTTGTGACGGCAAATCGATAATAATTTATTACTTATACCATTCACAAGTCGGCACAGGCTTAGCTGCAACCAGACAGTGGCGATCGATTTCAGTCCACCTTCTAAGTTTCTACCCAGTGAAGCTCAGGTTTTACTGTGTACAAACAAGCCAGATGAGCATTTCGTGGTAGCCTGCAGAGTTACATCTTTTTGTGTTGTTGTTCTGTTTTTATCTTTTTTTTGCGTGGTGTGTTGTTTATCGTGAAATAACCAAAACATTCATTTAGTAGTATACACACACATACATGTATAGCATTACAATACACTCACGCCAGGTGCGTAGTTATAAAACGGAAGATCGGTGTGGAGGCACAGTGACTTCGATGTGTATGCAACACTGCTGGCATTGTGCTTACTGAAGACTTGGAAAGTCTCCCTAAAATGTGGCCAAGAATGAAAACGTAATAACAAGTTACTTAGTTAGGCAAGAGCAAGAACTGCGTTTTAAACAGTAGATCTATCTACCCCCCCCCCAAAAAAAAGGGTGAGCTCGTATTAAGTTTTAGGCCTATAGTTAAAGATTACGAGCACATTACCCGTAATTAGTTGTTTTCACATGAGCAACTTTCTCGGACAATTCCTGGAGGATTCCTTGCGCAGTCGGTGCCCTTTTCACCAAGGCCAAGCCCTTGGTGTTCAGGACTTCCAGCCAGTTGTACAGCTCCAGGTCGTCTTGGAAAAGTTTCTCGAAGTCGAAGGCCGGGATCTTGCCGTTCAGCTCGCCTCCCCACATCTCCAGCTCCGGACTGCCCACCGTGTCTCTCTCGTTGTTGGAGAACCGCTGGCGGTTCAGCCAGGCCACACCGAAGTCGCTGCGGTGCTGGTCAGGCCAGGTGATCTGCAAGACCTTACCGTCGTCGAGGATGGCCTCGCTGGCTGGCTTGATGTCGGGATTCATCTCAGCCGGGTCACAGGTTCTCTGCCCGGACGAAGGGTGATAGCAATCAGGACATCGGCAGTTGTCCCTCAGCCAAACATAAGGGTAGACGCCCTCCGGGCCGGAGCTTAACCCCACACGGTAACACCCCACCGTATCGTCCCTGGCGAAGCTCTCAAATCTCGGGCTTTCCCGACTCCCCGGTGCGGCCTGCGATGAATGCGACATCCGGGGACCCAACGATCCTAATACCGATGGAATGATTGCCGCATTCCAGGCCTTTCTGCTGTGGGGTTGCCCTGCACTCGCCCCTACCACCACCGGTGCCACGCTCTGCCTGAGGCCAAGAACTGACCGGCGGATGGTCAACGCGTGCCTCGCCAGCGCATGGGGCTTGGCAATTGCCTGCGCCATGATGCTTCGACGTTACTGCATGCAGCCGCAGAACAATCTTTTCTGGCCGTGGTGGGTCTCAGTTATACTATAGAGCCTATTCAAACTGGAACCTGCAGAGCGTAACAACGCAAAACCAGATGTCCAGAGTCCCGTCACCAGGTCAAACCACAGAGCCAGGACAAACTACGATATTTGACTTTCTACGGTACGATGTGTCTGCCCGTACAATTCCCTGGTGAACATGTATTATACATGTATATATCCATATACACAACAATGCACACTGACATACCTATACATAATGGTCAGTATGGTGTTCTATATCTGCCACGCGCCCCGCGGATCTCGCCCCGCGGATATCGCCCCGCGGATCTCGCTGAGAAATTTTACCACTGGCAATTGTGTACACATATAACGCACCGACCTTTAAAGAGTATAAGTATTAGTGCAACTTTATTCGTGTTCTCATTTATTAAAAAACTGGCAGCCTACTCAAAGTTGATAAGGCTTCGTAGTTTGCAAAAGAGGAGTCTAAGTTGCATATGCGACCGGCAGGTGTCATCGGTAAGTAAATTTGTGTGAGAAGTTTCAAGTTATGCCATTTTAGTTGGATTTAAGGTTTGTAAAACCTGATAAACTGTACGACGAAAAACTGTGTTCTTGTATTGTTTTCAGGAAGGAACATGGAAGACCTTTTGTAGCGCCAACCAACAGTTCCACAGCCACTGTAGATTAGTTACCCTTTAAACTATGGGCGGCCGAAAGGGCCAAAATTAATAATGACAAAAATAAGGATAATAAACAGAAACATAGATAAACACAGAAATATATGTAACCCTGCGGAAATACACAGATTAACACAGAAATAAAGATAATAAGCCAGAAATAGATACGATGATATAACTAAGATTACAGAACTGAAGATAACCACACAGGTCGAAGTACAGACAACAGAAATAAATTAAAATAATCATGCTCAAAAAATACACGCGACAGAAAAATAGTAAGCCACAGAAATGAGGACTACAAAAAAAGACGACATATACATGTATAAAGCTGGCGACAGAAATAAAGACGAGCACAGAAATGCATCGTTCTAAAAAGAATATATTGATGTAAAAAAGAAAAGTGGAGGGTAATATATGCGTTTTCTACGGAAAACGGATAGTGACAGCGTGAATATTTTTTTACGTAGGGGGTGTAATATTTTTTTGACAAATTATGTGGCGGCCGCCACATAATTTGTCAAATATTTTTATGCCTAGGGGATATTTTTTGCACATGGGGTGTATCCATTTCTTGCGACGGAAGCCGGATAGTGCCAAGGGGTGAATACTTTTCCGTAGGAGGTGTATACATTTCTTGAGCATAGGGGGTCAATATTTTTTGCACAAAGGGGGTGGAATATTTTTTTAACAGATTGGGGGTCAATATATTTTTTACACGTAGACCTGGAGCGGCAGTCTCCATACGTTCAAAGCGTTTTCCCAGGCTGCACAGTCGCGACGCATGCGGATTGACTCCGTTTTTTCAGCAGATTCCGTATTCTATGCTCGCGTTCAGACGTCGTGCTGGCTGCCATACTGTATGTACATGTACGTACGCCGAGGGCTTCCACGTGTTAGCTCCCTCTCGTGCAAGAAATGTACAACCCCCATATACAAAAAAATATTGACCCCCTATTCGCAGGATATGTAGACACCCCATGTGTAAAAAAAATTCACCCCCTATGCGCAAGAAATGTATACACCCCATGTGCAAAAAATATTCACCCCCATACATACAAAATATTTGCAATATTATGTGGCTGCCGCCAGATAATTATGTAGCGGCCGCCAGATAATTTGTTTAAAAAAGTATAACACCCACCTACGCAAAAAAAATTTCACTCTGGCACTATCCGGCTTCCGTAGTTTTCCAACCTTGAAATTGGAAGTGTTTTAGTTTTTTCGGACACTGGGAGGAATGTACCATTAATAATGGGTATGTTCAATGTAAAGTGTTGTGTACATTGCTAATAAATACAATATTTGTTGATTAGAAATATAATTTGGACCATTGACGATGTGTTTTAGTAATGTTGAAAGTACAATAAATTCTCCTTATTAAAGAAATTGAATCGCTGCTGTGTTTGGTATTTGTTGTATCCCCTGCTACAATCGACCATTTCAACTGCTCTTCAACAACAACAACAACAACAACAACAACAACAACAACAACAACAACAACAACAACAACAACACACACACAACAACAACAACAACAACAGCAGCAGCAGCAGCAGCAACAACAACAACAACAACAGCAACAACAACAACAACAACAACAGGGGCCAGACTGGACGTACATGTACGCACGCCTCTGGCACTGCGTACATGCACGTGTAGCGTATACACCTATTGCTTCTGGAACGAGAGTGTACTCGCTAAAAAGTAAGCGAGTCAATGAAATGGGTGTAAACTTTATGCATCCATGATTCTCAGATTATATTTCCGAAGACGTGTATCTTCCAGTGGTGCAGTGATGAAGAACTAAGATGCAAAGCATGTAGCAAATGCTCAAGGGATCATGAAAAACGCAAAGGAGGAAAACGAGAAAGGTTGAGTGGGTTTGACAGAGGTGGCAGAGTGACAGTGAAGAAAGTGGCGGCAGATAGGAGGGATTAGAGCTTGTTGATAAAAATCAGGAACTACGATCTGTTTGCTAGTGAAGCCATGTATCACAGGTTAACATAAAAAACTTCACATGTAGTGTACAGTTAGAAGATTCATCTTTGATAATTGAAAAAGTATGCTAACCAAAATAAAGAATAAATTACGTTTGGTAGTGCATTTTTCTATGTTTACCTTTACATCTTTTTTTTTTTACCTCAGGCAGTTAATTGTAGGCAATCTTTGACAATAAGAGCACTGTACGTACACAATGGAATAACAGCGGTTTTCATTCACAGCTCGTCTAGGCACAAGTACATCAACAACCAAAAGCCATCTTGTGGAAGAAACAAGACCAAGTCTGGGGAGCCTAGTAGTGATTATCATGATTTGCACACACCGCGCTGCTTTTGCGGAAGCAAAGACGGTCATAGGCCTTGCAAAGTTGCCACCAGCCAGAGTTTGCCTTGAACAGCACAGCAGAAGGGTCAACTATCAGGTTGGAATTTGGAAGAGAGCAGGTACCCCATGTCCGCTCATCCCCAATCCATGGGAGGGCCATGGATGGACCCGCGAAGGCGAAATGGTCATTCCAAAATGGTACGAAGGGGACACCCTTCCGTAGCAACCTATAGAGGGATCCCAATACGACGCTTTTAGCGTCGATCTGCGCACTTCCGCGTTTGAAAACGAGGCTGTATGTGTCAGCTTCAATTCTTAATACGATCAGACGATTGAAAGTAAGGAGTAAAGACACAAAATACATAAAGGTATGTTAAATTCAGACTTTTCAGGCTGAAAATTTTTGTGACAGAGTCTTTCAGGATGATTCGACACGTAAATTCCAAAGAAAAATAACGGCAATTGACCGCGAACTAACGTACCTGCGATGGTCGTGTATCTTGTGCAGTGGGCGTGGTTTAAACTGAAGTGGCGTCACACTTACGAACCGGATACTCCATATACTGTGTGGACTCTGCGGGCGCGCGCAACAAAGTTCAACACAGAGAGCCTCGATTTCGATGCAGATGTGCGCAAACGGCGCTAATGCGAAATCCCTCTATAAATGAATTAGCCAACATCGAGAAGGGAGACGATGACGACTATAATGACAGCGACATTGATATTGAGGAAGAGGCAGATTTAGAAGCAGAGTCATCAGAATGGGGAAGCAGCGATGGCGACTGGAATTGTACATGTAATGCATCCAGTGTAGAAATTGATTCGACAGTTGAAGACAATTAACCACACTCTTCCAGACGGGAAATTACTCTTTGTCCGGGGAGGGTACCATTAAGCTAAGAACTGATACAGTTGCATTTGGATGATTTGATTTTGAGCTTTTTAAGCAATTTACTTTCGCTTCCTTTTGATTTGTTGCTTTTTATTATTTTTTTCGGGGAAGGGTGTGCTAGAGTCAATTTGCCGACTTGTTCGCCAACTTCGTGTCGTGCAAAATTTACAAAGTGATCAATGGTACATTGCATTTAATGCTTCATGGAAATTCCGACGGCCAACGTAATTTGTTTGTGTGTTAATTTTGGATTAATTTGCCGACCGAAGCTCTATTTGCTGAGCTAATGGGGGGGGGGTGCCGCACACCCCTGGTCCTTCGTTCGACAGTTTCAGTGCATTGTTAGTAACATTTCAGTCATTTGTTACATGCTCCGACATCTTTGGCAGCGTGTGCACGGTGTGTGACATTGAAGTACAAGTTCAGGGGGCTTTGATTTGTACCCAGGGAGAAAGGAAATTCTTGGTCAGGCATCATGGCCTAATGCATAGTGACGGTGAAGAGTTGTACCATCATTGAGCAATCATGGTGTAAATTTGTGTCGAAAATTGGGGGGGGGGTAGGGATGGGGAAAGGCGCAGGGGACATCTGTAATAGGTATGACACTCATGCTGAATCTTACGTCAGAATGGATACTTATGGCATTCAAATATTGTATTCCTTGTTGATTTGTATTAAAAACATTCTAGCCGTTGGGGAATGAAAAAAAATTCCTTGCAATGCGCTTTAATCGTTGCTCACAACAAATTGGTGGGGGGGTTCAGTAGCCCACCCCACCTGAAAGTGATAGGATGGAAGGTTTTTACTACAGATCAACACACTGCTTTTAAGTTTTCTTTAAATTTGTTGAACAAATGCTGGAAATCGTCACTGTAATGTCCTTTCACGGTCACCATAGAGCGTTGTGTAACTCGTCCCGGAAGCCACTGACACACTGCAGTGCACGCGTACATTACATGTACATGTACTGTACACTCTACATGAATAGCACACAGCACTATGGCGGTCAACAATGACTCAGCACTGAGGCTCATCAGTCTCAGAAGGGACGATGAAGCGAAGTGGTACGTGGCTTCCTTGAGCAACAACTTCACTGGGAAGTATCCATTCATTTGGCTGAGGGACAATTGCCAGTGCAGCGAGTGTTACAACAAAGAATGCCTGCAACGGGAGACTTTCACGACCGACATGGACCCCGACGTCCTGCCGGCCGCCCAGGCCGTGACCAACCAAGGGGCGGTGTTGGAGGTCGTGTGGCCGGACCAGCATCGCAGCAGGTACCTCGCCGAGTGGCTGGACAAGCAGCGCTTCTCGGAGTCCGAGATTGACCCCGTCAGTTTCCCCGATTACCAGGTGTGGGGGGCCGAAATGAGCGGCAAGATCCCCGCCTTTGATTACGCCTCGATCCTGAGCACTGACCAGGTCTTGTACGAGTGGCTTCGAACAATCCAGACGACTGGGCTGGCCCTGGTGCGAGGGGCTCCTCAGAGGCAAGGCGTGGTCCGGGAACTTGCAGAAAGGGTTGCTTTTTTTAGAAGAACTATTTATGGGTGAGTTTAATTTCCCGGAATTTTTTTTTGGGGGGGGGAACTTTTGTCCATTATAGGCGTGGCAGGGTCTTGAAATGAAATATATATACCAGTGTTTGCCGTCCCAATCCCTGCCCATCTCGATGGGCATAATGGGGGTGAACATGATTCGGTCCAGGAAGTAAACTTTTCTGTTTGTGTGACTTTTCAATCTTCGTCCATGCGTGGAAAACTATTCGACATGTTTAGGGCGGGGGGAGATGGTTGAAAGATGCACTTTTTATGGGCAAAATTGTCCGAGCGTGGCAGGTCAAGTTTTGTCAATGTTTTGACATATTCTGGTTTTTCGTGTATTTCTTTGGGGAAGAGTTTCCTATACAGACGCCAGTATTATTCCTTACAGTGACCTATTAGCCATCAGAAAGCAGGGAAAACACCTGGTCAGTTACTTACAATTTCACTTAGAATTTTCAGACCAGTCTCATGGGATTTATGCACGGGGTGTCAAGTGCATGGGTCCACTGGCCAAGGGCCACCGAAAAATACATCGGGCTACTGCATTACTGAACTGTCCTATCCCTGGTCTTGCAGTAACAATCAGCCAATCAACAGCGGAAAACCCACTGTATAATCTTGATTTTAGTTTGTGAACAAAAATTGGCATTTACTAGTATCTTGAAACCACTCCTCGTTCACAGCGATTTGTGTATAATTTGTAGATTTTGTAAATGGATTTTCTTTAGCGGGCATATTCTGGCTCTGGTAGTTTGAGCGTACTTAATAATAAACTGTAAACACGTTGCGTGTCAGAGGGTGTGGGGGGGGTCCGAGGTTGTGACAAATGCGAAGGGAACTTGTGAAAATAACGGAACTTTCTTGCCGAACGTGTCGAATGTAAGAAGCCAGAAAAAAATACAAGCTTTTACACGTAGATGTGAAAAATTGTGTTTGTGAAGACAGAAAGGACAGGATTTTTTTTTTAATTCTTAATTTTTTTTCTAACTTGCCAATCTAAATTTTACGGTTGCACCAAAAAAATAGGATCGGTCGTGTAACCAGAAGCAGGGCTCGGTTTGGGGGCCTTGAAAAAGTAAAGTACATTTTAATCCAGCGGGGCTTGCCAATCAGCTGTTTTGGTATAGAAGTTCGACTGACGCAAATGGACAAGTTTGGTGGGCCTGATGAATTTCATTATATGTATTCAACCTGGGCCACCAAATTTTCAAGAGGGCCAGTGCAGTGCACTTCCCCACTGGCTCTGCGGGCCACCAAGAGAGTGAAGTTGATTTCGACCCCTGGAGTGGCGTCCACATATGGAACTCTTTCATTTTTTTCCTACTATTTCAAAACTCCCTTACATGCATGGTAGAGACCAGCTGTGTGAAGTCGAAATGCATGAAAGGTCGGGGTCAGAAGTATTTTCAATTCATGCTTTTGTGCTTTTTGTTTGATTTTTCAGGGAGGAGTGGCAGGTGGAGAGCAAGCCTAACGTCAGCAGTCTGGGCTACACCTCCAAGTTTCTTGTTCTCCATACGGACCTACCCTACTACGTGAGCCCTCCGGAGGTAAGGACTAGACCCTCACCCACCCGCCAATTAGCCATCCACAACCCCTCCCACCCACCTCAACCTGGCCTGCATGGGTCTTTCATGTAGGCCTATCTGTGAGACCTATTAAACTTGTTACGTCCCAACATTGTTAACCACCTGTGCGAACGTTGTCGATGATAGGGGGGGGCTACATTTATTATAGGACATCCAAACTCAGCCAACAAGGACAAAAGCTCAACTCCATGAAGACGTTTTTGCTACGTGCCAAATTTACTAGCAAAGCTAGGGACATGTAAGAGGCCCTAACAGGGCGAAGTCCATGATGGCTTTTCTCCACTTGTTATTAACAATATTTATCTAGAGATGTTGCTGTTTACATTCTCTTTGCTTTGGGATATGTCCACAGTGATAAGATAGGTAAGCTTCAACAGCATTGGAAGGTTTTGATCTTACGTGAACCAGGATTTGTGAAAAACATGAAGAGGTTATTTTAAGCACAGGCAAAGACTAGGCCCACAGTTGTATTGAACCAAATAAAGTTCATTGCAAAAATACTGTATCTTAATTTGTCCTATCCTTTGAAACTGACCTGTCACAGAAAAGTTCAAAATTGGCAACAGCGTGCTTTGTAAACCATGGGTGCCGTCGCTCTCTTTGGTATGTGTTGTACGCTTTTAGTGAGGAGAGAGCCAAAATTAAAAGGGTGTCGAACCACTTTTTAAAGAGCTGTAATGAGGGACGATGCTGAAAATTGCATTTTTCCACCTTGGCCCAGAGTGAAAAACACTCTAATGAGTGAAGTTATCACTGTGGTTTTTAAACAGCCATGTTAGGGGGCACTGCATAATGTAGCGAATGGTACATGTAATGGACAGTGTTATACAATATTTAGAGAATGCATTAAGATATATTTTTTAACAAAACCTGTGTCGCATCTTGTCTCCCTTAGGTACAGTTGCTCCATTGCATTGAGCAAGCAAAGGGGAAGGGCGGGGAGAACCAGTTCGTAGATGGGTGGAACATTGTCAGACAGCTGAAGGCAGAACACCCTGAGGCATACAAGGTGCTGAGTACCGTGCCGGTAGACTACAAGAACGCAGCCACCGACCAATACCCGTTCCACATGAAGCTCAGCCGACCAATCATCGAGTGAGTCCCGGTGGCGTGTAGTCTTTCCAGACTTACATCCTACTTTCGATGTTAGTTTGCAAAATTAAAACGTGAATGAGCCAGGTTGAAAAACTTCCCACCAACCTGTTTTCTTTTTTGCCGGTGAGGGTTCATTTCGACTCGGGGCGGAGAGTCTCTTGGAATCCACAAGGCCGCTGAATGTTGGTACGCTGCATATCATTGCAAAGATAAATAGAGACATGATAAGATGGTGCCAGAAATTGGTCCAGGTGGCCCGAAGTGGATTAATTTCAATATTAGACTGGCCAAAAGTACCTGTCCACCTGCTTCTCTTTAGATTCTTTGAATTGTTTGAATCGAGCCGTCTGTGATGTTTTGAAGTTAAGACTTGTGTACTCGCTGCAGGCCAGTAAAAGCTTTCAGTGTAAAATGATATTGAGTGCAAACTCTTGCAAATTGTTCCGAAGATGTTTTGTGATTATTTTGCAAAACTGACGATGTCAAACAACCAAAAAGTTAGTTTTTCAACAGTTTCTTAGACTATCCATCTTGAGCAGAAGCGCCCCCTCATCAGTTGAAAAGAGCCACGTTGGTCGGCAGTGTTCATTTTGTTGGTAGCAATGCGGCTGCAATGCTTGCATTTCCTAGTCGCTCGTGAACCAGCGAAGCGCACTCAGTACCAAAGGAGCCAGCCACCCTTGCAAAGGAAATAGCGCCGTCTCGTGGTCCAGCTCGAGGCCCATATAGAGCGCTAGACCTGCAATGACATTTTGAACATTTGGTAAAGAATAAGACTGGCTTGATATTATGTAATCCAGTTTACTCCAGTGCCTGTCTTTCGCCCTCTGTTCATCATGCCTAAGTTTCCCTCATCTTCCTTTGCCCTGTTTTCATAGCTTTGACCTCCGAGGTGAACTTTGCATGCGTTATAATGACCCCATTCGCGCTCCCTACATGCTAATGCCAGTAGAGAAAGTGACAGACATGTACAAGGCCATCAAGCTCTTCAATCATGTGATCTACCTCCCCCAGAACGTGGTTCACTACCGTATGACCGAAGGTGGGTAGATTGAAATATTTATGTAGTGCCAGTGATGTGCAAAACCCCAAAAATACAGCAATTCACCCAAATATACGTTACATACCTAGTGTGGACATTCCTTTGTTTTCGCGCAGGTACGAAAACTTGATAAAGAGACTCATTTTCTTGAACTGAGAACACGATTTTCAGCTGGATTTTTGTAAATGTTTCCTTGACTGTTCGTCTTCCTTTTATGACAGAAGACCCTAACCCCTAAATGCTACTTAACTTCTTTTTCAAAGAAGGGGAAACCTCCTGTGGACATGTGTAAGTCCACAGAACGTCTTCTCTTCCTGCATCGTGTGGACACTGTTCACAAGTCCACACTAGGTATGTAAGGTTAGCGCACCAGGCTAGGAATGGCCGTTTTGTATGTGACTATCAGGCTTTATTTACATCCAAAAATAATCGTTTTTTCCTGCGGTTAGCGGCTACAAATATCTCCTGTCCAGTTTATTTTGTCAAGGAAAGAGGCAACCGCAAACCAGCTGATTCCAACGCGACTCAGACATAAAACTAAAACCTTCGCTCAGCAATGCAGTATTCATATTTTTGTATTTCTTAAGGGGAGATCATCACCTTCAACAACCGACGACTGTTGCATGGACGAAGTTCGTTTGAAGTGCAGACCGGCAATAGTCGTCTGCTAGAAGGCGGTTACATTGACTGGGACGAGGTTCGTTCACGCATGCGCGTGCTCAGGGAAAAGCTGTTTGGCATCGAACGACTGTAGGGCATAACGATGCAAAGAATTTCTTGGTACTAAAATATATCCGTTTGGATGGAAATTGAGCTGTTAATTTCGGCCAAATTGCAGTTTGCGATTAGCTAGTACTTGCAGAAATCAAGGACTTACTGCTGAAACGATGCATTATTGTAGGCCTAATGACGCGTGAATACTGGTACTCTGTAACTGCGATGGTTCACTCTTACTTGCCCATTGGAGGGCTTTGGTCCTGACCACCAATATCTTTGAGCTTGCACTGGACATATTTTACGGAAATGCCGAATCTGCATGCGTATGGAACACGCGTGCATGGATTGATCAACGAGCCTGACCTACCTGCACTGGTTTGGGTCTCCAACTACAGACGACGTATAAAAAAACTGGATTGGCAATGCCCTTAATTAACCGCCATAAGTCACTGAAGCCAGCAGTGGCCATCTTACCTTGCCAAATACAAAAAAGGCAATGCAAAGGCTTACTCACCGGGGCCATTGTTTACCAATCGTTCATGGCAACAGTAGTTACAAAGACACAACGAGCCAACGATCACCTTTGTAACAGAGGTTGTGCGCAGCAGCCATTTATCTGGTAAGAGCGTCTGTTCCTGAGTATGGTGTTCTATTCAGACCACAATACACATGCATGATGCGCGATGAGAGAGTTGTTTTACTGCGCGATAAGAGTACTCTTACTGAGCAGTGCAACGACTCTCATTGTGCAGTGTAATGTGGCATGATTAGAACACCATACCCCAGGGATACACCTGAGAAGACCGTTGTGTTATCCCTCCGATTCGCTTCAGTGGCTACGTCAGCTATGCAAGTCCAGATTCTTTTAGTCTGACGTCTGTGTCTTCTACACGCAGTGTTTCGTACGAGTTTTCAGTGGACCATTACTGATCTGTATACACTGGATAGGCAGCTCTGCTCTGCGAATCGAAGCGACTGCGCGGCCATCTTAGGCTATTCATGGAGGAAGGAACTCCTCCATGGGCTATTCAATTCAGCTTTAACTTAACGCCGTGCAAGAATGCAGTTCGTGAATGGACTGAAGTTGAAGGCCATATTGTGTTGAATATCCTAAGATGGCCGCGTGGTCACTTCTATTCACACAGAGGCAGTTACGCTTAGCTGCCTGTCCAGTCTATAGAGATCAGTATGGACAGTCTGTAAATCACAGTGAGCATGGTGAGCATGGTGAGCACGGGCAGTGACAACAATTTTGTCCAATGTGAATGGTTCTGTCCATTGTGGCTGTCCATTGCAGTGGAGTACACTGATAAAAAATTCACATAGTTCTGGCTTTCTCTCCCTGCTAGAAGAAAGGATTATCTAAGTTACTCTGTGGAGGCCGCTTTTTAAATGTAAATTTGCATAACAGTGAGTATATTCATTTTACTCTTTTCAAAATGTAATACATTTGAAACATATTGCAGGATTAAATTACAATGCTCAAAGGGAGTATTGTGTTTCTTTTAAAATTTTGGATAAAACTTTAATCAAAGATGCCGAAATTTAATATTTTTATAAGAGAGGTATATCGTAAGATTATTTAAATGTGTGTTGAACATGCAGTTCCTGAAGAAATCCAATCAGAAGTACTTACACATGTAATTGGAATAATGTTTCTGATTTCATTTCTACAAACTGAGCATAATTTTCTTTAGCATCGACTTTCAATATTTAAATCAGATATTTTTTATGCAGATGTTTACATAAACATCTACTTTAGTTGTCGATTTGTAGGCTGAATGGGTATGAAAAATAAAGCATATATTATAAAGTCACATTGTAGTTCCATCACATAATTATAAATCAAAATGTTTTCACTGCAACGGCTGTTCCATGAGAACTTTCTCCATGTTTTCCCCATCACCAGCTGCAAAAACGAAGCTTGTAAATAGCCGTTATGTAAATGGTGATTCCATCCATTAAAATATGTGTGGATGCCTGGCATGACTGGTTCCTATCGAATTCATTTTTAATTGTTATTATCCGCAGTAATTTCCAATAAGTTAGGAGAAACTGCGGTAAACCATACAATTCTACTTCAGTGTTTGTCAGAGGTACATGTACTACTTGTAATTTGGTTTGAGAAATGGTTACTCTAAAATCTGTTCTCTCCAAAAAGCTTTCCAAGGAGAATTCGTATGGTGGATTTCGCCTCAATTGTCCTAGTCGAAATACCCTCTTACAAGCTGTGCCCCCTACCAGCTTGAACGCACTGCGTGCGTGCTTGACGTGCCCGTTGCTGAATGTCGCGATTTCGCCTGGTTTGGCCGCGAGGGCACTGCGATTATCGATACGCAGGTACGTAGATAATGAGTCCTCGAACGCAACAGCGTGCACTCACAGAGGTTCATCTCGTGCATGCAACGCTAGCGTCTTGCGTCAGGAACTGAGACTGACAAATGGCCACACTTTAATAGTTTGCTCTCCTTTCCAAATAATTTTAATTTAAAACAAAATTCCGTATACGTGTCGACTCTCGGTAATACGAGCATGGATAAGACGTTATTCCGGTTAAGGCGAGCATACTTTGCCAGTCTCGACTAAAGTGTGTACAGTCCTACGAGAAAAAAAATTAATACGACCTTGGGTAATACGAGATTTCGGTTAAGACGAGGGCTTTTTCCGGTCCGGTCGCGTGCAGATGTATTCATTATATCTCTATTTAGCACCAGCATTTTGAAAACAACTCGTCAATCAACGAACCCATCCAAAACAGGTGCTGTTGTGCTTGGCGAGGTTATAATGCTCGCTAATCCACGACTGCGGTTTAAGGGCATTTTAGATTCCCGAGCGATCAAAGGTTTTTTTGGGGGTGGGCGTTTCGTGCCAGTGCCCGATCGGAACGGACATACAGTACATGGGCGTTTGTGATTCCCAGGCCACCAGACGGCCCGATCAGAACAAACTCATGACAAACTCTCCACAAAAACATGAAAAAGGAGAAAAATGCCCCTACTCAACTTTCAAACTAACGTGAAATTAATTTGTCATTAAAATCTTTAAAAACAGTCTTGCACGAATACATTGTTTGTGCACTTTGAGCATTACTTTGGGAAAATCAGATGTTAAATGCATAAAAATAGAGTTCGTCATGGAAATGTGCTTTGCTTTATATGAAGTGCTCAATATTTAAAAATGGCATCTACGAAGCCAAAAGTGTACCGCTGATTGTGTTTGCCTATTTCATATACATTTTGAAGTAGGCTTAATGGGCAGTTGTAGAGATAAAGATCCGTGAGTGGCTACGCCGCCCTTGGAACACTTGTTAGTGTGTGGCAAAGGGATTTTGAAAGTAAAGTTCACTCTGCCAAATGGTCAAAAGTTTGTTCAACTGCCGCCAGCTTGTTTGTTTGGAGATCTGAACAGTATATTGAAAAGTTGTGTGAATCCCTGTTCTTAATATTTACGAGGCTTGTATATTTGGGATGGGCGTAAGCACTTCACGATTCCCTTGCTTTTTTAGTGGTGTAGTTTGATTTCCACAATTTTGAGGGAAAAAAACAGCGCTACAGGTTGACAGCCGTGCGTACGCCACCCCAAAAGTACTGAGGGCGCTGTCGAACCGTTCTCTCCAGGTCAATTGAACAAAAAGCACACGACTTGTTCACGTGCACTCTCGTTGAAAGCACGCCTTGATTAGTGGATGTCGACAGTGTTATTTTGGCCGAAACAGCACGCTGTGACAACTTAATTACGAGAACCCAGTGTCTCGCGGCATCGACGGAGACCTTCAGCTTGTCAGTTAATTATGGTGTGGACCAGGCTTAAACTATTAAAGCCAGGGTTATTGGCTTTGTGGTACCGTTCTAGCTTGGACCCTGACAGTAGGTTTTTTTATTTTCCTGATACTTTTGAACTGTAGCTCTTTGGATTTTGAACACCTTGTTACCCTTCTCGAATTAATTTTTATCTGAATAGTTCTGTTTCTGGTGTATCCACAATTACGTCACGGTTGTGACATTGTGTCACAATCGTGGAAAATCTCAACAGCTCAAGTATCGACATACGGCGTAGTTTTCATTGTAAGTATACGGAGAGGTGAGGGAATCATTGTGTAGCACATGAGGATTGGAGATGCATCGTGCAGGCATGGCAGCAGAAAACAGTATGTTGGACTAGTGACTAGTATAGTAATGCAGCTTTTCTGTCTCCCATGCATTGACATGGAGGTTGTGGCGTTCTTCGAGATCAAAACCGTAAAACAGTGGCGTTTTAAATGACGCCATTTTGTTCCGGTGATATTTGTGAGACTGCACTAATCAGCCCAAAATAGCTGTAAATGGTTGATTGAGGTCAGAGGGTGAATGACGAACGACAGATCAAAGTTGAAAAATACGCGCTTTGGTTTTGAACCAAAATGGCGTCTAATCTGAAGTTGTTGCACATACGGCTTCACGCTAGATAACTACACCCTACTGATCCGGGTTGCGGAGGCACTGGAGGTAGCCATGCCGAGGCTGTAGCTCCTCTTGCGGGAGAACTCGGTGCAGAAAGCCTCCAGCCACAGGATCCGGACCCTCTGCTTGCAGAGGAAGGACAGGAAGATGGTAAGGCCTTGGCAGGTGTTGGTCAGGATGAAGGCGTACCAGAGGCCCCCCACGTCACTCAGGGCGGCGGCGAAGCCGAAGATCCACGTGAAACCCATCAATGACGAAATCTACGGAAGGGAAGAAACGGATTGCGCAAAACATCAGAATACCCTTTTTTATATCTGTGCGGTGGTGGTGCTGGTTATAGTTCCTGACTCACAGAGGGTCAGGGGGTTCAAATCCAGCTGCCAGGCAAAACTTTGTGGCCTTGGGCGAGTTGCTTCACCCAAGAAAAACGGATACCAGCAGTTGCCGGCCAGTAACCGTCGATGGACTTCCATCTCATTCCCATCGAGGGAGGAGAGAGATATTCTGTCGCTTCATTGCAAGGAAACTGGGGATAGACATGGGTCCAAGAAGCACGGTGGCTTCAATTCTGGTAGGAGTGGGAACAACACATTAAGCATACCCAAAGCATACGGCCATCTTTTGTCACAGAAGGGTGTTTGGTGGCAGATGTCTCTGTCAGCTGAGCGGTCTATTCGAACAGTGAAACGAGAGGACCAAGATAAAAGTACCACCTCTTTTACAGTTTCTTCTCTCGACATGAGCACAATGGACAAAATAATGTAATTCAAACAGTGATACCATTTTCTAGAATTTAGGATGTAGTTACCTTTAAGTAGATGATCATTTCTTCTTTCACTGTTCTTAGTTTACTCAATTGCCTCTTCACAGTTCGTGTGTCTCTCGTTGTCTTCCTTATACTGCACACAGTCTTGGCAAAGAGGAGACTATTCGTTAGCATGACGAGAGCCACTGGAGCGCCGAATACCACCAAGATGGCAGGCCCGTTGCCAATCCAGCAAACCTCGGGGCTGCCGTACCTCAGGGGGATCTCGGTGCAGTCACATGAGGAGATCACCAAGCATGGAATGACGATCAGTAGGCTTCCGCCCCATGTCAGCAGCACGTACGTGCGGAGCCTCGGCCGGCGCCCGGCGGTTTTACACGCCCGGCCCACGAGGCAGGAGTCGCCAGCGAAGGTCCGGCTGAGATCGTAAGCGAGGACAGCCGTCCAGAAGACGTTGACCAACCATAGATAGTGGCTCAGAGCGGCCACCATGGTACAACCAGCCGGGTTGGCGGTCGCCGAGCTCGTCAGCAAGAGCATGAGTTGGGCCATGAATAAGGACGCCACCAGGTTCATTACGCAGCAAGTGGCGTGGTTCCGCAGCACCTCGAAGAGGAAGTAGGTCAGGAAAGTCAATCCACCGGCCACCATCGACACCACATTGCCCACCAGGCTCAGCACGACTTGCGACTGGGAGTAAGCGAAGAATTTCACGGTAACAGTAGTGTTGCGTGTACCGTTGCTCTCCAGGAAGGAGCACACTAGTATACCGTCTCCCGTGTCTTTATACTCGCTGTTGGAGAAGACCCGACCGGTATGGATGTACTCTACCGAGCCGCTGGCGTTGTTAATCTTGCGGAACAAAGTTTTGCTCATATAAATCAGCGGACAGGTGAGTTTCACATCTTCGCAGATTTCCAGCTCCACTAACCTACTGAAGTTCGTTCCTTCCGCACGAAACGTCGCGCGGACTGTTACTTGTTCCAGCGAGTACCGCTGCTCTTCTGCGTCAACAGCAAACGAGAAATTGTTGACCTGTATGAAGTACGCTGTGTCGTTCAGTCGACGCGTAAACATACACGAGGCATCGGTGTCGTCCATCTGCCTCTCAACCTTAACAAGCCAAACTCTTGATTTGTGACACGACTGCAAGTTTTCAGCCTGGCTCCAAGGTGAGAGTAGATGCAGCCCAATCGTCTCAAATGTTGCATCGCTGGAGTCCAGGAGGAATGTAAAAAGGCAGACTTCAGTCTGCCCGCCAGATTGCAGATTTCCCTCGCTGAGTAAGTTGATTTCATGAGTCTCGATCTCGAGAAATCTTGCAATACAGAGAGCGGTCTCTTCTTGGTGTACCAAACAGCCAGTTTGTGTGCCATTTCCGTTTACTGTGCGGGTAACGTGTATTTTCACATTCCCTGGTACAGCGACACATTGGCCGCTGTCGGTTTGTAAGATGTACCCCACCTTGCAAAACAGCTGCTGGCATTGAGACGTGAAGGGGTCGAACACGTGCCCCGCTGGACACAACACGCGTTCCTCGTCGACGACTGTTTGCTCGCGGACAACCCTAAGGTGGCTGCTGGAACGGAAATCCATCAAGATTGAGATTGGAGGAATTTGTTCGACATCCAGCTGCCCTGCAGGTATTCTGTTGACGGTCTTAAAGATTCCCAGTGAACAACGTGTCACCCAATGCCGAGTACATCCGCGCGGCGCCGGCGTCTCCCAATCGGCTGCATCGCAGGCTTGTGGACGCTGGACCCTCACCCGGCATTCCTCCTCCTGGTCTCTGCTGGAGTCGCGGAGCCTCGCCAGGAGGGCTCTGTAATCCGCTACGTCCGTGCTGCCACAAGTCACGTCCACCGGCCAGGCTCGCAGATCTGCCACCGTCTCGTTGTTACACACGGCGCAGTATACGTTCCTGTACGACAACCCGCTGGTCCGACTCGTGACCGTCACGTTGGCGATCGAAAAGAAAGGGGCATTCTCCTTCCCAGGGCACTGTCTTGAGGCGTACGTGTATTCTTTGTGGTCTTCGCTACAGGTGCTGATAAGCAGGTATCCCGAGGTTTCCCCGTTGACTGTGGAACAGCTAAACTGCCCTAACTGAACAGTTAAAAACAGACGGAGTATTTTTGTAAGTGTAAATCCGAGTCGAAACGACATGGCTTTCCTCCACCTCTTCCCCATCCCCAGGCAAACATTTGCTAATACAAGAAGATTCCTTCTTATGTGTTTTGTTTACTGTGTACAAAGCCTACTGTTGCGGTATATAGCATTGCTCGTATAGTGCACCATAAACGATGCTTCAGCAGTAATTCCACTAATTTTTACACGTAAACTAACACTGGGCCTTATTTTGTTTAAGTGTAGCTGCAATGAATTTTTCTTCGACACAATCTTTCTGCACCTTCGTATGTTTCTTCAATGCATGGAAACTCTTCCACACTCCTGTTTGGTTAAATGCACTGAAAAGTGCATACATTTAAACAATCAAAAATATCCATGTTTTCCCTGACAACTGAGGGCGCTGTTACTGTGAAGTCATCTAGGGAAGACATGGCTCAGTGCATAGGTATTTCTGTCCAAATTGTGAACCCAGAATTTACTAACTGATAACAGTTCTGAGAGAAGGATTGATGGTTTCTTATTGTTATGCACATAAACAACAATAAATCAGCAAAGAAGAAAAACCTTAGTCCACGAAAATCTACAAAAACACAGGACTTTTCTGTGCACAAACCAATGTAACATCGAGGCTTCTTCCTGATATGACGTCACAGTTTTGGTCATCAATATGGAAATACTCATTAGCATAAAACCAAAAAGGCATTAAAATACCCTTGGAAATGGGGAAACTGAAGTTTAAAATAAGGTTTACTGAGGCGACAAAGGTGCATTTTACAGGTTTGTAGTCAAAAAACATTGATTGCAGCTACCCTTTAATATCAGACGCGCTAATCAGTTGTCTCTTCGTATACAGGGTCTGTAGCATCATGCCTATTGGTTTTACCTTCGGGTTTTTGCCGACTGTGTCGACATCTCGGGGTGCTTCCAAGGTGTCATTGTCGGCCTTATCGCACAGGTCGACGTAGTCGTCGCAGCAGCCTTCCGAACAGGGTCGACAATTTGGCAAGTGGGCTTGCTCCGAGCACATTCCGGAAAGGGCGCGCCCATCGGCGCCACTCATCAATGGATCTGCAAAGCAGGTTTATGAATGTTGTGATAAACGCGGTTAAGCCGTTCTGACGCATTCCCACTGTGCACTTATTAACTTCTTTTTTTTTTTACAAAAGCTGTGACCCATCCATCCTCAGACTTTTAAAGTTAGGCGCTCTAACATAAGTAAATGGAAATAGAATATTCAACTTGAGACAGCCACTCATGTTGGCAAAGTGCGCCTTATTTTAAATCTGAAAATGGAAAGTGGCGACGGATTTTCAAATTGTGAAATTGTAAAATTAATGTCTCTATTTCACTTTAAATAGCCCTTCTCATGGGTGAAGCTAAATTTGGGGGCTTTTATACACTGTTGGAAGGAATATGAAATAGGCTCTGCTTTTTTGGATGCATGATGGGGGACGGCTCCCGTTGTCTCCGGCCACCCCCATCCATCAACGAGGCCGTCAAGCTGTAACACACGACAGCAATATTCCGACACCGTTACGAAGGAAACTTGATATCTGTCTCATGACATATCTTGCGTGTTCAGAGTTTAGGGTTCATCTATAAGGAGAACGTAAAGCAAGTCTGGTGAAATCTAATCGTTTCTAATGTAAACCTAGTGAGCAAGCACTCAGGAGGGCTCGTCCGCGAAGTGCCTTCTTTCCAGCGCAAACAGGTTGCGACGCCATTTCTCTAACAGCACGAACAACGCTAAAATGTTGGCGTGGCTGGTTGGCCCAAGCATGATTATAGCACAGCCATTGGTAATTGGCTCGACGGCTAAACAATCGCAAGAACTTGCGAGATTGTTCCCGACAGGCCGCGGAAAGTGGAATCAGGGAGACGCTGTTGCTTGCTATGGACTTCACTATGGGGTGCGGGCAAAGTCGGTCCCAGCAACTGGTTTTACAGGGCAAATATTGCAAATATGTCACAGATCATTCCGAAAGCCAGTCCATTGCTTTATCACCGGGTATTTTGACACGATAGAGATCAGCGAAGGCTGACTAAAACAAAAAAGTTCCGATAAAATTGTGTAATTTTCCTTCAGAGGAAGCTTTCCGTTTTTCGGGGGAAAATTAATGCGGAAACTAATGTGTGGCGAAACATTAAGTAATTTTTGATGAAAAGTAAAAACCAGTTACTTGTAATTCGTTCCCTGATGAGATGGTGATTAAAGAAAGACCACGTTCTTCATCAAATCACCGATGAGCACCATCCATTACTACCCCGGTCCATCCGAACCTTAATCACACTCCCCCGTTGTTGTGTCGGTGCGATTGATTTCGTCCTTACGTGATTCAAGTGCACTCGCTCTGAACTTCGTGCCAAAGTCGGTATGGATGTTGCTGTCACATTTGTAGGATATGAGCAATCGAGCACTGTCGTCTTTGGGGACAAGGCAGCCAGAACCTTAGGACCGTTCTCATTAGAGATTTGACGGCGCAGCGATTGCGAATGATTGAACAATTTCGGCAACGAAGCCACGGGCCTCGCACGCAACACGAAACTGTTGGTGATGGCCATAAACATGATATCGCTCTCTTGGATGGAACAAAAATTTAGTATAAATTGCACCTTTTGATATTTGCTCCGAACCACCGAAATCATTACGAGTGTGTACTGAGAGTGATGTTATATAAATCATGACAGTGGTTGACTTTGAAGGAAAAACTAAAAAAAGAAGCAGGAGTATTATTTTTCTTCAAAGTGAAATCTGTGGGATATTAGAGATACTTGATGGATATTAGAGAGAAGATAACGTTCAGGTGGTGAAAGATAACGTTCAAAAGGTGAGACTTTTGAAATTTTCTGTTTACGACTTTCTGCTGTTGCCCGCATCAAATAATGAGAAAAATAGTGAGATAAATTCGTCAAATTGATGCACGGGAAGAAAAGCGACCGATGATTTACGCAGGCAGAATCTGGTCTCATTCCTGATATATGAAGCCCGTGCTGGACATGTAATACGTCGCTGTCTTTGACCACCTAATACCAATGCCAAGATCTGCTGTAAGACCAGCTTTCAAGCGTGGCTTGGTTTAAACCCACACCGGCGCCGAATACGGCAAATTGCATCGAGAGCTCTAGGCCCTAAGTGCATCATTTCACTCTCCGTACACCGCAAGGATGTCGGTTAATCTCTACATAGACGCCCTCCTCTCGCCATCAAAGCATTTCACAGATGACGGTACTAATAAATACAGACAGGTTAAAAGGACGAAACGGTGATGAGTTTTAGCAGGCTCTAGCCCGTAGAGCTCCTTAGTCCCGTAAATTTTGCCGAAGGCTCTCGCCATAAACAAGGAATCAGGACCGCCGTATAAGCTTAAGATAAATTTATATATAGGGGATGAAGTAGGACCATAAAGGTCCGGTGGATCTAAGGTCGGGACAGAGCTTAAACCGAATTTAAGGGCCATGAAAAATACTGAAACAAAAGGGAAGAGTATCAAGAATTGCACGCTGAATTCTTTTTTGAGAAGTATCCCCCCATCTGATCTAACCTAGATCCGCCCCACTTAACTCATTGAAATATGTTTCAATCCATAAGACAATTCGATGGAAGCTTCGATGAAACTTATGACTTCTAAGAAAAAAGCGTCCATATGAATTCCGACCGATTGTCCCTTCCCCATTGCAACGGTGCGCTGTGGCGCTGTGCCGCCCGTCTGTCGGCACAAAATGGAGGCAAAATAATATGACGGGGATACAACCGTTTTTTCTGACATTGTCTGAATTTGTTTTGCCCGCAGATCCCAATCCTCGAATACAAAAGACTTGCCTCATTATGTAAGTTGAGCTTTACATGCTCGGATTGGGCCCGATCTAGCTTGTTTAAAATGAAACATTCAAAAATGAAGTGAAAAGATTTCTGAGGTCAACGACTTGAAGGGCGTTTCTCATAATTATTTTCCACTCTTTTCCTGCATGGTTGCTTTCTTAACACAACGAAAAATCTCCCCTTTCCATGAACTCGTGGTCTCCAATAATCCTGGAGTTTACAGCCTGGTGATATTCCCCACTTTCACATAAGTGGGGGAATTCTATACCCAGCTTGACTTTTTTCTAATTCTTTCAGCCCTTTTCCTGACCTCGTACTATTTCCGGCCCCTCTTAACACTAATTGGTGATGTTCTGAGTATTGATGTCGTCTTATAATTAATGGAAATGAGATTGGAACGTGCAGACAGACATGTGACAGCCCGAATTCTGTTCGCTCGTCAGGTGAAACTTGGTCTCGAAAAATACAGTTCCTTCGTGGAGAGATTTTTATACAGGTGAGCGCACGGCGACTGCCAGTGGACTAAATCGCGGCTCGGGTTTCATGTCTTACTCCAGGGGCATTTTTTAGGTGAGTTAAAAATGCACAAAAGTTAGCACTGTGTAAGTTTCTGTGGCAGAAAATTGAGCTGCATTTATTAATGGGATCGGAAGTCAGTGGGATCATGATGACGTTGAAATCTAGAGGCAATCGCTGGAAAAACAAAACAACACCGACAGCAACTACAACAACAAAAACGCGGCCGGTAAAGTATGGTAAAGTTGTAGTGCGCGTGCATTTTGGCAGCTTGTAAACAAAGGGTGCGTTCGATTAGCTTACACGAGAGCGTTTGTTAAGCCATCACGTGATCTTCGTGCCTGCCCTGGTGTCTGCCACCGTTACCCCGGCTGGCGAGCAAGTCTGTGGAGGTTGCCCGGGTGTAATGACGTCACGGATGGACTGCTCGAGCATGGACATGATGGAACATGGCGGGGACTTGACCTTTTTCCAGAATGCCTTGGCGAATGCATTGCAGCGTTCGCTTAGGCTCATTTCTAGGCTCCCTTGTAACACTGGTGTATTCAGGGAAGCTAATCGAACGCACCGAAATTAAACACCTCATTGGTCGAAGGAAAAATGACAGACGCGCTCGTACAAAACCCTACACGCAACGTGGTACAATCATAGAATTACAGCTCTATGGCTACAACAGACTGCATTGACGTGTTGGCCATCTTGAATTGAAAGTAAAGTAAAACTTGGCTTGGGGAACTTGAAAGTGACAAACTAAAAGTTCATTCAAATTCAAGCAGTTGTTGTTTAGAGTAATCTAAAAATGTGTAATTAATAATATCTAACTGTTACGAGCAACATAAAAAAAAAAGCGGAACTGGGGTTTAGCATCCCAAATATAAGTCTGGCATCACCCCCATTACATTGAATATAATAGATTCGGGGAGAAGATCAACATGGCTTTTCCCACTGTAGAACGTCTACTCTGTATTATAGATTTGATTAAAGGAACGAACACTTCGAAACGAGTTTCTGTCGTCTTGCTTGGCTAGATCTTGACAAATGACTGCGCTTAATGATGGATTCCCTGCGTTAACGATCGCTTGTTTTTCCTGACCAAGCAGTGAGTAACGACTCTCAGGCTAAGAAAACGGAATTAATACATGTCGGCTCGGGCAAAATACAGAGTACCTGGTCCGTCTCCACTTTGCTGTGAGCTGGAGTGTTCGTCGATCTCACACAAAACATCAAGGGAGAGACCTGGTGCTTTTTGTGAGGTCAGGTCACTTTCTTGTGTGTTTATTTGTTCGTTTAGTACGCTGCACACTGCCTTACAGCGAATACCAGAACTAGCTACATTGATCAGTATGTCTCCGATGATGGAGATTAATGACGCACGCAGTAGTGGACCAGTCACGTGGGAACGGTAAGCTTGCTGCCACCAAGCGTCTCAATGCATGTTTTCTATTTGTCGTAGCAATAAATATTCTAGAACCTGCACAGCAAATGTCTAAACTAAAACATGGAATCACAACAGCTGTGGGCTTAAGTCGAGCACCCAAGTGAGCCTTGGGCTTGAGCCCCCTTGTCTTTTTCTACATTATCAAAAACGAAGAAACAAATTTACAGGTACATAAGAAACATGTTACACTACTAAATTCGACATACAGCTGAGCATCCGAGTCACTTGTGGCACAGCGGTGGGGCCAGCATTATGAGCTATTTTGGGGGTAAATATCGGCCCCAGCCCCTCCCCCTTCTTACGACAAATCCTGGGTGCGCAATTGGGCATTATCGATGACAATATCATCAGATAAATTTTAAAAAGGCTGACCTTTTATAAAAGAATAGACGAAATAAAATTAAAAATACGGTTCTTATGCCCTTCAGACGTGGATGCCTGACAGAAAATTTGTTTCAGATTGAAACAGATTACACCTTCCCTTTAACATCAAGACACTCGCAAGAAATTTCGTTCCCGCGCAGAGTTTGTTAACTCGATAAACGGGGAGATACCGTAACCCCGAATACCGTTGATGTGTGTCTTGATTTCATTTCGGAAAGCTGGGTACACAGAGTTGCCATTATGGAAACTGTGATCCGTTCAGTGCCTTGCCGGAGCAAAGTTACCAGTTAATTCGAGCCGTTTTATGGATGTGTTGAGGAAATTAACAGCGTGTCAGATTAGTGAAATGCAAGACACGTTTAATGGAATTACATCAGGGTTATTTTGGGGCTTTATGCACATTGGATACACGTTGGCTATCTTTCTTATCTAAATTATCATTTGGTTGGGGTTCATTACCTTTGAATGTGTGTTACGTGAGAAAAGACCCCATGGCCGGCAATATCATTCGGTATGTTTGGGGAATATCATATTTTGTTTATGTGAGCATTTTTGGATGTCTCTAAATTCTATGGTGATGATTTTTTTTCTACAAGTCAATGGACCAACAAACATGCAGGCAGATTTGCATTGGGCGTACTCGTCCAGCGCGTGCGAAGCACGCACACTGCACGGATCGAGGACCTTACAAAATAAGAGTGCAGGTGTACCTTTCATGTTACAGCGATGCAACCTCTGCCACTGAAGGCCAACCAGAACATGACTAGTTTTCCATTACCAGCCTGGACTCGTCATGTCTTGAGCTAAATGTCAGGCCCGTTGACGAAGTCTCAAATTCGTGACAAGATTTCATCCTTTTGGACTGGCAATGACGCCTAGAAGACTGACGTACGGCAAACAGCACAGGCAATCAATTTTTGTACAGCATTTGAAGTAGACAGAAAAAATTATTACTTCTCCAAAAACTCGGCTTCGCGTGACTCACAGGCTTTGGAATGTTACTTCGTGATTCGCAGTATCTCACTTGGAGCTTTAATAATGTATCCATGTATTTTGCTACACTGTTTAAAGTTTTTCATTCTGGTCCAACGTTTGAGCCAGAAATAGTTAAACCTGAGACATTGCCATCAACCAAGCCAAGTCTTTAGAACATTCGAATTACGAAACGAGGCTCACTGCCCAGGAGGCTGCAATCTCGCTAATGCATTGCTTCTATATCTAAGTGCTGTAGTGTTGTAATGGAAGACTAGGGCAAAGCTTAATTAAAAGGCCTTTTCTATGAAGAACAAAAGTGGCCATCTACTTTTCTGCTATCAGAATGGTAGAAAAGCAGATTTTATGTTCTGGTAACGTAAAATTGAATTCACGGTTGTTGTCAAAATGTTCCATCCAAATTTCTGCCTGCTCAAAAGTAGAAAAACAGATGGCCACTTTTCGGCCGCCAACGAATGAAGAAAAAGTAAAATCTGCCTTTCTTGAAGCAGAAAAGCAGAAAAATAGAAAAATGCATTACCAAACAATGTTTGTTCTGGTTTTTGAGGTGGCAGAAAAGTAGAAAAGTCAAAATTGCATGTTACCAGAACATAAAATCTGCTTTCCTACCATTCTGATAGCAGAAAAGCAGATGGCCACTTTTCGTCCTCCATACTTTTCTGATTGATATTTCAGAACTGTAGTAATATTGAAACTCTCAAGCAGCACATCCTGTCTCAATTAATATCAGCAGTGCACACAAGCCAGTAACGCAGTAGAACTGGCATGTTCGGCACATCGCAAATAAAAATGATGTAAATTGTAATGAAATAAATGAAAATGTTTTAGGATCTCAAATTAGACCTTGCGCTTTTGCCATTCAAATTCAGCCAAGGGTGAACATCTAGATATACATGTAGGTTCTCCGAATTCTAGCGGTCGGACGTACAGGTACGTATCCGACAAAACACACAAAGCTTAATGTTCCTATGAATACTGGCTATTTTACGCGAGAAGCAGGGTTTTGATACCTTCCTCGTCCCCAAAAAGGTGGAATGGAAAGAGTGATGCTTATCTGATGCCCGCAAATGTTCGTCTGTCACGCTTTCGTGTCTATACGTCATCATTTACGGGGCTCTTGTCTGCCTTGCGCGATCGATGCTTCCAAACGACCGAGTCACGTTCTGCGTATAATATCGTCTGGGCTCATTTGAAAGAGTAAATATTGGAGTTGTATAAAAAGAAGGCATCGACGAACATTTATTTCTTGTTTCACGTTGTATTTATTGGCTGGCAGAGGGGAATAAATTAAAGGACAAGCATCGTATTCGATTGCTCACCAAATAAATGATGTTGCTGTCCTGTGGGACCGAATATTAGACGCTGCATAATAATTCAGGCGCGACCAATTCTTGTACGTGTGTTCCTATGGATTTAACCGTGGAAGTTGGCATTACGGTCAAGGTTAGATCTAAGGCTTAAGATTAGAGGGTGGGTTGTAATGGTTTTGGGTAGAGAACAGTTAGTTTCCAAAACGCAGAAAGTGAAACTACCGTTGTGACTATTTTTTCAGAATCCCACAGTCTCCCGATTACCTACCGTCAGTTTCAACGGGTTTTTATAGTCAAGCACAATTTAATTGTTAACTATAAGTGAAACATTCAATTATAAAATTAAGTTACCCAAAAAATTAATTGTTAAAAATGAAAAATAAAATCTGGCATATTCTTTTTGTTCGTAAATATTTCATAATATTGTGGGAAAAGGTACGTTTACGAATTGATTGCATTTTGGAAATAAACCTTTCAGTTGTGGTTCAGCGTTCAAAATCGTTAAGGGGTAGAGACCAGTTGTTTACACAGTGAAATATTAGCAAATATTACATCCATAATATCACGCGATGTACGTGTGATTCTTTGTTTAAAGCTCGTGCTTTTTGTTGCAGTCAAAATTTCATGCTTGCATTTTTAATGTTTGCACTCAGAATTCCTTGTTTCAATTACGTTTTGATGGAAGGGGTTAGAAAAAAAATACAAAAAATTTAAACGGACCTTTTCTTTGGTTTACTAGGTAAACAATGGAGCGTGTTTCGGTGAAGCAGTTGCCCATTTTGTTGAATTTATTGCCGAACTGCCGGTCTTATTCGCCATTTTCATTTCCATAAACGTCATCGTGATTGGAAAATGTGTCGCAGTCGTGACGCTTTGTCACGCATATTGTCACAATTCACGTCTGACGCGCTGTACGTTACCATGACAAATTCCCAATGCAGGGGGGATTTTTTCATGCGAATCGGTTAGACGTCAAGTGAACGCACGTCAGCGCATTAAAAAAAGGGCTGGGCCCCGGAGTGCATGGCAAAGCGATATTACTAATTTTTCTGCTGAAAGAGGGTTTGCATAGCTGCCATCATACAGGCCAGTGCTTTTGTTCCACAAGGTATGCAACAAAGGAGAGTTTCCTGTGGAACAAAAGAACTACCCTGCAAGATGGCTTCCATGCAAAGCCTCTATAGGGACAATGATGTGACATTCTAAAGCTTGGAAATCTGACTTTGCAAACTATTACTACACTCTGCAAGAACATAACCAATCTGGTGTCATCTCTCTTAGTAGCAAAACATTTAAGTTGAGGTATCGGTTCCTTTTAAAGCAAACTCGTCAGCAAATGCACGTGTTAAATACTGCCGAAATCCAATATCAAGCATCTACAGGGTATTGTGCCGCCGAGTGTGAAAGTCAGGTACATGTAGTAATTTTGTTGTCCTTTACAAAAAAATTATCAATCGCTCAGATTAAGCATCGACTTTTAAGTACTTTATCCTCATTTAATAGCACAAAAAACAGTGGTGTTGACGTAATACTATCCAGTATCTGACTGAACTAACCAAAAGCAGATATCATCATAAATGCACGGTGTCGTGTAGAATTTACACTGAACGTACTTTTACGGTTAGGTTGCTCATTATAAGACTCACTAACGAAACAGATACAACTAACCTATCGTATCGCTGATCGCTGTCGAATTCAAGTCGTTCGCGGCTCGAGCGTGAACCGGATCGGCCGGTGTTGCGAAGCAAAGACGAGATATAAGCAAAACGTATACCGTCTGCATGGTGACTATGCTGATGACGGGCCGAGACGGATTCATTGCTGATGGCCGCCCTGGGGAAATAGCGCAAGGGCCGTTCCGGGCAACCAGAACGACACCAGCTGGTGTTGAGACTCGATCTGCCGGCTCCCTGTCGTTGCGATCCACGATCCGTTCGGGGGGGGGGTTGGAGTGTCGTCATCACCGGCACCGTACCACGACCGACGCCGCACGTGACTCCGCCGAACGAATCGTCAATTTTGCGTGAAGTTTCGGCATTGGGTATCCTCCTCGCTTTGGGAACTAAGCAATCGGTGAGAGGCGGCTGGCCGGACTGCGGTGTCATAAAATAAAACAGACCCCGGCGATCAACTGGTGGAGAGACGGGTACTTTGCCCCGCCAATGACATAGAATGATGAGCCTGAAAATCTAATTGCGATCCGCTGGACAATTGCCGATGAGGTTAGTTTATTTGATGAGGGTGCAAGCTGGAATCAAAGACTCTCGGTTGCAGAGTGGCAACCCGTCCGTTCAAGTGTGTAACCCGTTTGCGCACACCATCCATGGTGTTGGTCGGCAGTGATCCATGCTCGATTTGGACTGCGTCCCAAATGAATAAATGTAACTAGCTAATGTTTCGTTCCAATCAAGCAAATTTTCTGCGACTTGTATGTGATAAACAACTTAATTGACCCAACTTGAGAAAAGCAGATGACCCTCCGCTTTCTGATGTTATGACAATAAGCACTGAGTAACGGCAGTCGCGGATCCGGGGTCGAATCCCCCCAGCGCTCTCAAAGACAAAAACTCAAAAACAAAACAAAACCAAAAAGGGGAAAATAATTAAAAAAAAACAAAAACGAAATATAAAGCAAGTTCACGAATACTACGGTGAACAATGTAAGTCATTTACAATGTTTCGTCATCGTTTCCGCTTGTCCACAAAAATGAGACATCAAATCTCAGGCATTAAAGGGTGGCTGCATTGCAATAGATTTTTGTGACTACAAACCTCTAAAATGCACCTTTCTGCCACGGTTAACTTTATTTCCAACTTCTGTTTCATTATTTCAAAGGATATTTTAAAAACTTTTTTATCTTTTATGCTAATGAGATTTCCATATTTATGAGCAAAACTGTGATGTCTCTCAGGAAGAAACCTCAATGTTACATTGGTTTGTACACAAAAGTCCTACACTTTTGTAGATTTTCCTAGACTTGCTTTCTGTTCTTTGCTGTTCATGTGCACAGCAACAAGAAAATGTCAATCCCTCTCTCAGAAATATTTTCAGCAGGTAAATTCTGGGTTCACAATTTTAACAGAAACACCTATGCTCTGCACCATGTCTCCCCTAGATGATGTCACAGCAAAAGCGCCCTCAGTTCCATGGATACTTTTAATTGTTTAAAAACATTCACTTTTCAGTGATACAACGTGGAAGAGTACAGAGATGCAGCCTGAAAAATTATGTACAATAAAATTTCATCGCAGCTATACATTTAACTCCCTGGAAATATTCCTGGATCCGCCCCTGAACGGGGTTACCGTGACAACCGACTTTAACCCATCTCATAGCGGACTCAAGAGCTGAGCACTTGACACACAATGTAAAACAAAAAAGGCCATTATGTATCCGATTGGAGATGTCTCCGATAATGTCGCTGGCGTGAACGCTCGAGTGCCTTGCAAACACACTGTGTTGTTGCTGGCCAGATCGGTTCGTTTATTCTGAAAACATGAAAAATGGCCATGGCATTTAGTATTCTAGAGCCATCCGGAAAGGTGTTTCTACTATAGTATGAACGAAAGGACGATAATTACGCTTGTCTGGGTACACCGTATAGTCACTTCAACTTCGGTGTTCTACCGTGACAAACTCCTGTAAAATGAAGATGCTTCTTTGTAGTGGACTCTGGTTACGCGCATTAAACATTCAAGGAGTCCATTTACACTAGAGTCCCTTAAATCAGAAAACCTTAAAATCTTTTCGACACTTTTTATGCCCTTGTGCTCAAATCTCTCCCCACCCACTCCACTACAGCTGTGCTCTGCTTAAATAGGAAATTTGGAGCTTTGTAAAATATAGGTCGCCCTCTAGGAATAAATCTGCGGCCCATCCAGCACTAAAATCGATCCTGAGTTTTATTCGAAATCAGCTGGTATCGATAAAGTTAACCACAACAATTACGTATAATTATGGGTGCTTCGTACGTACGTGGGCGCACATCGTAGACAGATGATTGCGGAAGCAAGGAAATATGACACCCGACGAACTTAAGTTAAGTTGCTCAGGGGCCCTCCTGCAACAATTTGTTCGTTCTTCTACAGGGAGAAAATGTTTGTAAGTAACAGGTTTTTATCGTGTGATCGTTATTGCCTTGGTACCATCGTATTTGTGGACATTATCCCGAAATTTTGGGGAATTTTGTCGAAAGGGATTAGGGTGCCCAGTATTCGGACAAAATTAAGTTGCGAAATTTACCCGCGACATCGACAATTACCCTTGAAGTGCGGCCCCCCGCTGGGAAACTGTTCCAAATGCAGATGCCGCTTGACACCCTGTGCGCAAACCCCATGAGACTGATCTGAAAAATTCTAGGCCTAAGTGTTTTCTAAGTAAGTCGAGGCCTAGCGCGCTTGTGAACGATTCGAATTTTTCCCTTCTAAATTGAACTTTTCTGGACATGCCGGGCAGGAACTTCACGGAGGCATCGCCTATACATTTAGATGCCCCTGGTCTTTACCTCAATGCCCATTGAAACTTCCCCATAGACAAGTTGATTTTCTAATACAAGTGCCCTTTGCAAATGAGAAATTGCCTTGCTCTTTCAACAATGAAGTTCCTGCCCTGGGGAAGAGTAATTCTTCCGTACAGTGACTTATAATAGCCATCAGACATGTCAGAAAGCAAAAACATGTCCAGAAAAGTTCAATTTAGGAGGGAAAATACCAAGTTGTTGACTGAGAAAACACAATTCTTCAGACCAGTCTCGTAGGGCTTGTGCACAGGGTGTCAAGTGGCATCCGTATATGGAACTCTTTCTCTGTCTTGGACATGTTTTTGCTTTCTGATGGCTAATAGGCCACTGAAGGGAATACTTACTGGCGTCTGTGTTTGGAACTCTTCCCCCTCACTCTAAATTAAATACAGGAGCTCAGGGGTAATAAGACCTTATAGCCCAGCCGTTGCCAGCCCACCTGAAGTCAGTAATTTGAGTAAACATGGTAAAGATGATCATATCCTGTGAATTTTGAATTGACACAGTTCTTTTGAGCATGTTTCCTGTTACAAGTTTAGACTTGTCAGAGGTTGAAATTTTTTTAACATTTAAACGTAAAAGTTTTAGTGTGTTGGGTGTTTTAATTGAACTTTAATATTCATACGAATGGCTGGGGATAAATCTGGGTTCAGATGAAATGTAGTGCCCCCAAAACCTGACTTTACGTGTAAAAATAACTAAAATGTCTAAAGTTGGAAGAAAACTTATTCCCTTTATTTGACTGATGAATGATATTTCCATGTACATGTAATTTTTTGGTGATTCTAGAATTGGTGAGGCTGTGCTGATGAGGGTAGGCCTCATCTTGTGTTGTGTATCATGGTAGAATTGAAAGTAAATATTGACGGTGTGCAGCGCGTGGTCTGCGGTGTCAGCGAAGCCACTAGGTGCCAAGACATCGTCCTTGCACTGGCCCAAGCCACGGGCCAGGTTGGGCGCTTCAACTTGGTGGAGAAATGTCAAGATTCAGAACGGTCCCTCCGACCCAACGAGCACCCCCTGCGGGTGATGGCCAAGTGGGGCCCAAACTCCAGACAGGCTTATTTTCTGCTGCGAAAGACGGGGTCTACTCCGGGCAACAGTCGGCCGCCTTCTGCCACCAAGGAAATCAGCGAGAGGTTTAAGCAAACTGATAGTCCGACGGAATCCATAGGTGAGCTCCCGCAGCAGAGACACGTGAATGTGAGACGGTCGCAGACTTTTAGTGGGTACCGCGGTGCCGGTGCACCACACCCGAGTGGCCATCCGCAAGAAGTCACTGCGAGGGACATTGCCAGGCAGCGAGAGCTAACCGAGCTGGTTTCTATACAGCAGGAACGACTCGCCCACCAGTTGCAAGACCTGACCGACATCGAGAACACCATCCAGACAATGGTTGAGTTTGAACTGCTGCCGATGGCCAACAGCCACCGCGACGACTCGGATTCTGGTATCGAGGAGATGGAGCTTCGATCCAAACGGAACAAAGCCGAACTCCGTGAGCTGGAGTTCTGGGAGAGTGAGCTAGAGATTGAGGCCCAGCTGCAGTCGGCGCTCACCAAAAAGATCAGCAAACTCAGAGGCAGGCTCCAGCTCTGCGACAAAGAGCTATCGCTACGGCAACGGGAGATTGCCAACTTAGAGCTACAAATCCAGAAGCAGCGAGATAGGTTACGACAGGAGGAGGATCAGACTGCCCAGTCGAGGCTGACTGAATTACAAGAAGAGATTTCACTTCTAGAACAGGAGTACGAAGACTTCAGAAAAAACACAGAGGAGGTAATCTGCCCGATTTAAGTGTGTAACCTATATAAACGAAGCCATCAGTTTTAACGTGTTTAAGCTGTAAACCTGGGATTCTCAATGTTGTGTAAGTAGAGTTTCAAATTTAATAAAAGCACGTGCAGATGTCACTTTATGCAGAATGTATTTTGCCCTTCATGCAAGCGAAACAAAAATTCCCATTCCCTCTGATATTGGATGGGTAAGTTTCGTAATCTGTGACTAGGCACACCTAAGATGTGAGATGTTCAACACATTTATGCATGCAAGGTTCCTGTTGGCAAAATTTCAAACAACAGCCGAAGGCCACGTTTCTGTGGGCAAGTTTTCAATGCAGTGCTGATTCAATACGTGTAATTGTTTTTTGCCGATATCTCAGGAGACAGCCAGTGTTTACGAACATTAACCATTTGGTGACAGTGTCAGCTAGAATCCTGTACTTGAGTCAATTGTGACGGCCGTGTATTCTCATCCGCTCGCTCACTATCATCCCCAGATTGAGTCAGAGTTGGCGAGGCTGAGCCAAAGCTTGGAGACCAAGAGAGTGGAGGAGAGCAGACTGGCGGAAGATCTGGCCATGGAGAACATGAAAGGGCTCAACCGTGCCACGGTGGCGTCATCGCAGGAGGGGTCCTTGTTGTCCGAGTCGGCTGGTCACAAAATGCAGAGCATGGTCAGCCTCTCCCGCCAACGAGCCGAGAGCACACCCGTAGAAAGTAAGAGCCCGACACTCTGAGGGTATCCTGTCTCATGATCGGTCAAGGTCCACCATTAACTTCGCTGGAAATTTCTCTGAGCTTGGAAAGATTGAGGGCAGCAAGTATTACCATTATTTCTTGAAGCCCCGTGAAGGTCCCAGGGCAAAGAGTGTGCCAATTTGTGGGCTAAAATTGTGCAGGTGAAAGTTGAAGGCAAAATCGAAGGCAGAGCGCTGATTTTTCCCAAACCTCCACAGGTATTGCTAGTGTTGCCGACTTGCCTATTTTCTTCTTTTTTTTTTTCTGTCATCTCGCAGTGTACGCCACGTTTCCATTCCACCGTCTCGTCAGCTCGCGCCATCTCGCCGTCGCAGAACCCTCAGGGGAGAACCCCGAAGGCATATTTGTGTGATTCCCTCCGCCCAGCTCTACGGAAATGATTTCAACCAAGGTGCTATTACTAGGCGTGTCCTTCCACTCCAATAGGTATTGAGCGTAGAATTGGTTCTTGGACCACTCTCGACAATTCTCTTTTCTCTAACCCCTGGAAGAGTTTGTTGGCGTTCTCCTCAGTGAGACATGTTTTTCTACTCGGAATGAATGATACAAATCCTTTCTTCTGACAACATTGACCCAGATGTATATGCTTTAAGTGAGCAAGTTCAGGAGCTCAGTTTTACGGCCCATAAAGAAGAATGAATACAATATCTATGTTCATCCGAAGGTATTCAGATATCCTAACGGTCTTTGTACTTACATACTGTGCTGTTTTTCAGTATGCACTTACATCATGTAAAACCAAGTACACGTACATTATACAAAGTGATATGGAGAACTTCTAGCATATAGTTCAGTGACTAAAACATGTCTCCTTTTTAAAAAAAATGTGTTTTTCTGGATTTGAAAACCACATTTACGTATTACACTATTTAACCATTATGGGCGATTTTGTTACACAGTAGGGCAGTATTTGTATTTGTATTGTACCTTGATTCATGAAAATATATTGATTTTGTTTTTCAGAAAAAGGGACTTGATGGAACAAAGTACTAGTAACAAGTGTTTCTAGCATATTTTTCACCGTGTAGTTGATGCAGATGGGTGTGTTATTTGACTATATTCAGCACAGAACCTTGCCATGAATGTGTTTATTCGTACATTGTAAAACAAAAATGTATATTGTGTATAGTGTCTTTGTTTTGGTTCCCATATATTCTTTTGTCACTAAATGTGCGGAAATTTAACAAAACAGTGCTAACTTTGTATGCAAGATAGTATTAATGTGAGAAAAAGGAGGCGGCTAGACACGCCATAAAGATTGAGATCCTCAGCCCGCTTTTTAGCTACTATTCTCGGCCCACGCTCGAGCGAACACGGTGAAAGAAGGCAGACCCTGGCTCTTGTGTATATGGTAATTGGTCTTTGTGTGTAGCCCAGAAATGAAAAGACTGAATTTGCATCATAATCACCAGCTTCACAACAGTCCCCACTTTGAAAAGAGGCAACAGGAATGTGGAAGCATGAGTAGAGCCGCACGCCACCGAACAATCAGCCTTTTCACCGTGTAATTCAAAGCGTGCAGAGCAGGCAGGGCCACAAACCGAGAATTTGCAGTTTGGCAGGTGGCCTTCATGGCCAAGCGAGGCTGGAATTCTTGGAGTCGGCTTTCGGCAAGAAATTCCCGTCCTCAAGGGGTTAGAGCAAAAATGAACCTGATTCGTGAAGATGAGAAATGAATAGCATATAAGTTGTAATGCTCATATTCAAGGGCAGATTAAGAATCAAATTTTTGGGAGGTCAAAAACTTTTCAGGGGGGAGGGGAAATTAAGGAATTTATTTCTGAGGTGTAGGGATAATTTGGGGCTTTGCATTTACTTGAGAATGAAATGAAATATTTCCCCCAAATCACCTTTACCTGTCATATTTTAATTTGTTCGGGGAGGGGGCATGGTCCCTGCTTACCCCTGCTCTATGACAACATCCCCCCCCCCGTACATTGTTTAAATAGAGAAATATGAGTTGTTTTTTTTTTGTTAAAAATGAATTTTGAAATGAGAAATGTAGGAGTGCAAAATGTAATCTGCAGTCACCTCACTATGGTGCTCCATATATGCCGCCTGGCATTACAAAGCTTACATTGCATGTCGAATCTCGGGTGATATTTTAAGTTTCACATCGTGCATTACATTTAATCTCTTAATTTAAAAAAAATCAATACGCTTTCTCAAATTTGTGTACATTGCTGGTGTGCGCACTTCTTCTGTTGCCGCGCCATCGCTGCACTGTTTCCTCTGGAGTATGAGCTAACTCTGTCACTGTTTGCAGTGTTGCAAGATGCAAGATGGCAGATATAGAACACCTTACCTATGTAGCTTTATGAGAACTACAATGCATGAAGTGGCACTCTTTTGTTATCAGAAATGTTATTATTTTTTCTAGAAAACTCTTACGGACGCTTCCACAGTTTGAGGTTCTAGGCCTGAGGCGTAGGAAATGAAAACAGGAACAGGGTGTGTTTTGAAGATGCTGATGTATTTCGTGTGTGCTAGTTTTTGTAATGGTGAATTCCGTCTTTTGTGTCATCAAAAGCTTTAGTTATGTAAACATTTGAGTACATGTATGGGGATATGAGGGGTATCATTACACAGGTGTTTTTGGTAGTAGTCACAATGTTAAGTACGACAAAATACAGGGATAGGATTGCACAGAGATGTAGTTGAAATCCAAAGGCATTAATCACCAGACCAGACACTAATTTCAAGTTTGCTGCTAAGTTTGCACAGTATTTTACCGGTACATATAGCTGAGTTTAACCCTCACCCCCTGGGCTCTTAGGGTTAGGGTTACTGCTTCACTGAAATAAGCCAGTTTCATCATCCAGAAAGATATGTGTGTTTGTCTTTTCTGTGTACATTCATAGTGCGGTTTAGTTACTGGAAACAGGTCACAGTCCAACAGTTCTACCTCAGAATGTGTCATCAGTTCCAATTTGGGGTGGGCCTTTTTTTTTGGCCACACGCACAGAAATGAACAAAGGTTTATCCCATATAAAGGAAGTTTTACAAAGGATTTCTTTCCGGCTAAACGTCTAATTTCCCTGCTGGTTCAGGATCTCCTGCACTGTGGTTGTGGGGACACACACTCGACATCTCACCTATTTTGTGGGGACGGAAACGTTGTGGGGACTCGGAAATGCCTCCTCCACAACTCGGTTGAAAGTTCCCTAACCAAAGAACTTGTCCCCTGAACACGGTGAATGCCTACCCTCATGTACAAGTACTGAACAGTAATGCGTTTGTGTTCATGCGAAATCTTATTGTGTGATTACTTTGAACTGCTCAGAGCCTACGTGTAAATGTACAGTAGTTGAGTTGGTCTTCTTGGAAGTTTGTGTTGGGGATGTCATTTGAAGAGGGATTTGGTCAGTTCTCAGAACCTAACATTAAATATACGTACATGTACATGTATATTGAATTTGTTGCTTTAAGTGACTGGATGCATTACCACTTGGAAAATTTGGTACATGTATAGTTAATTTACATTTGATTGGTTGATTCTTGCTTTAAAAATCAGGTTTTTGAGGTTGGAGGATTTTAAGCACATAAGTCAAGCTATATTAATGAATTTGCACAGGACAGAACCGAGACTGGTAGATTTGAACTTTTGACCGGATGTTTGGAGATTCCAATCTCGGTCTCAGTGGTTTCTGTGTTTGTTCAACTTTTATGCAAGCCAGTTCTCATTGTGGTCTTGAATGGACTTCAAAATCTGAACTGATTACCGTGTTTAGAAACAAGATGCAGGCGTGTTGATGCCGTGGTTATTTATCGTGGCTGTAAACCTCTCTCTCCGTCACGGTCATCGTCCCTTTGCCTATGACTGGCCATCACTACAAAAGCAAAAGAGTAAACTACAGTGTTTAACAAACACCAATAATAGACATTACCTCATGACTGGTAGATACTTGTACTGAACAAAAGGTCCCTCTTACAAAGGTAATGGGGCATGTGTGCATCTGGAGGCCAAACCCGACACCAACCGAGGGCGACATACATGTACATTTCTGTAAACTTTATCTGCCCATACCAGCAGCAGGTGATAGTAGAGCAGTCTTCGTTACATCATTTGTTGGCCATCTCTAGCAGCGGCTTGAAAGAAAATCTTTATATTTTGGGCAACATTACTGTGCAGCTCAGTAGCTACTAGTGACGCATTCATGCAGGAGCTTGGAGGTACTCAATACATGGTTCCCTTTCCTAATGTCCTCATTGGGCCCATCAAAATTCCTAAAACCTCATCCGTTCCCTAGGAAACTACAGTGCCACCCACGTGTGGTTCCGTGTGATCGCGAGTAATTACGGTAGTTGGTTCATGTGAACAGTGCCGTAGTGCAATATACAAAGGATCTAATGCAGAAATCAATCAAAGCAATCGTTTTTGCTCTCACAGACACCTAATGTCTAGTTAGTCAGTAATACATAGGCAGAAAGTTGCGTTTATCTGCCGTTTTTTTTATGGTGTCTTTAAAGTGAAATGTGCATTCAAAATGTAACGAATTTCTGACCTTCTGAACTATATGTACAAGCACGATGATGACAGAGATGGAGCAGACACTTTGATGCTCATGCCACATTGCCATTGTGCACCACGGGAAAACATTAAATTTCTGTGCTCATTCTGATGAAAATCGGTGGCACGTACTTGCTGTTGTGTATGTTTGAACCAGCCCAAGTCATATTGTACGTGTGTTCCAAACGGCAATGATTACTGGTACTGTTGTTGCACAGATGTTGTAGCCGTGGCTGAATCATCTGGCTGTGACTAAGAATCACACAGTACATGTACCTCTGCGGAGAGGGGTTTCCTGAGGTGTGCATGTTCATTATAAGCACATCCGTATACCCATACACTTTCTGTCAGGTTTTTCATTTCAGATGTAGGGGTGACCTCAGGCCTTAAAGGGACACATTTAGACTTCTCTGGTCTTGTTTATTAGGCTCTGGATAAGAGCCTAAATGGCATCCCTCTAGATTGAACCTTGGCTGGGTAGCACTGATTAAAAAAAAACCCATAAAAGTACATCTGCTATTTCCTGGTTTGCCCACTCCTGAGAGCTGCAAGGACTGTACATGTACCAAACGACAGTGACAGGAGAGAGTAAATGGCCGCCTTTTTAAGTGCCAAATCCAAGAACAGTTCATTGCACTTCTTGTCTTCAAAATGCCTGGAACCTGCCAATAGGGACAATTCCATGATGAATGACTGCTTTTGGAAAATCCAGTGATGAATTGTGTGGAATTCAGGCTATCTTGCACTTTTTAGTATGCATTTTTGTATAAGACCAGAGTAAAGATAGAATTGAAAATAAAGTGTGCTCGGAATTCTAAGATTGTGTTCAGTCAAGTGTTTGATTTTCCAGAGAAAATTTGAGGTTTTGACTATTTTGCCGTTTTCTGTGAAAAAAAGCAACCTTTGTTTAAGGCCTGACTTTTAATGGTGAATGCCTGGAATGGACAGAGACCAAGAGTCTCCATTGTGGAATTTTTAATTGGTTAATTTGCCGTTTGTAAACCGAAACCACAGAAAACCAAACTGGACAAAGTCAAAACTAAACTGCAAGGCTAACCTCTTGTCATTTTTATTAATTAAAAATTAATTTCATTCATTAATTAAATTAATTAAATTTGAGGCTTAATTTTTTTTTAAGGCTCCATTTTGATTAAATTTTGGTCAAAATTTAACATCATCCAAAATACGTCCAGGGACATTCTTGTCCCATCTTTCGAAAGATTTGTACAGCTCAAAAAATGAAATCACATTTTAAGGTCAATAATTTGAAAAAAAAAATTTGCTCAAACCGAAATTTAATATTAATCTTTAACAAAATTTCAGCCAAAACTTCAATTTCCCTCCCAATTACTCAAACTGATTGAACTGAAAATGTAAAATTCAGCCCCCCCCCTCAAAAAAAAAACCCCAGCAAGGTACTTACCTTGCATTTGAAATTCTGGCCAAATTTGATTTTCCTTCGAAAATCTTCCTTTGAAGCAACATCAGCGTAGCGTTAAAGTTATGACACCTCATCCCCCAAAGCAGAGAGTTAGCCTTGCATTTTAATTCACTTTCAGCCACAAGCTTCTCTACTCCACATCATTAAAAAAAAAGTCATTTGAAGCAAACTGCCAATCATGTGATGTTTGAAAAAGGTCACCCCCCCAAAAAAAAACTGCAAGGGGTTAGCCTTGGCACTTTTATAAAATTTCAGCCGAAACTCTGACACCCAAATTCCAAAAAAAAAGTCCTTTGAAGCAAACTGCCAATGATGTGATGTTTGAAAAAGGTCAACCCCCCCAAAAAAAAACTGCA